TCCCATATAAATCATTGGCATTTCCATATATTACTAACAAAGCTCAACAGCAAGAGATAGAAAGAGAAATTCTGTTTAAAGTTATAGTAGACATTATAAAATATTTGGGAGTCTACCTGCCAAAACAAACTCAGGAACTATATGAACACAATTACAAAACACTTCCACAAATAAAGTCAGATCTAAATAATTGGAAAAATATCAGTTGCTCATGAGTAGGCTGAGCTAATATAATTAAAAAATGACAATTCTACCTAAGCTAATTTACTTATTCAGTGCCATACCAATGAAACTACCAAAAATTATTTTATGGAGCTAGAAAAACATAACAAAATTCATCTGGAAGAACAAAAGGTCCAGAATATCAAAGGAACTAATGAAAAGAAATGCTAGGGAAGGTAGTCTAGCTGTACCAAATCTTAAATTGTATTATAAAGCAGCAGTCACCAAAACTACTTGGTACTGGCTAAGAAGTAGAGGAATAGGCTAGGTATACAAGACCCAAGTCAATGACTATAATAACCTACTATTTCATAAATCCAAAAACTCCAGCTTCTGGGATAAGAACTCACTATTTAAGAAAAACTGCTGGGAAAACTGCAAAATAGTATGGTAGAAACTAGGCATAGACCAACATCTTATACCCTATACCAAGATAAAGTCAAAATGGGTACATGATTTAGATATAAAGATAGATACTATAAGCAAACTAGGAGAGCAAGGAATAGTTTACCTATTTGATCTATGGAGAAGGGAAGACTTTATGGCCAAACAAGAGATAGAGAACATCATGAAATGCAAAATGGATGACTTTGATTACATTAAATTGAAAATCTTTTTCAAAGACAAAGCCAATTAGAAGGTAAGCAGAAAGCTGGGAAACAATTTTTACAACTAGTATCTCTGATAAAGCTTTCATTTCTAAAATATATAGAGAATTGAGTCAAATTTATAATATAAGTCATTTCCCAATTAATAAATGTTCAAAGGATATGAACAGGCAGTTTTCAGAGGAAAAAATTAAAGCTATCTCTAGTCATATGAAAAAATGCTCTAAATCAATATTGTTTAGAGAAATGCAAATCAAAATGATGGTACCACATCACACCTATCAGATTGGCTAACATGACAAAATAGGAAAAAAATATTGGAGGTGTGAGAAAATCGGAACACTAATGTATTGTAGGTGGAATTGTGAACTGATCAACGATTTTGGAGAGCAATTTGGAACTATGCCCAAAGGGCTATAAAACTGTGCATACCTTTTGACCCAGCAATACCACTTCTAGGTCTGTATCCCAAAGAGATCATAAAAACAGGAAAAGGACCCACATGTACAAAAATATTTATAGTAGTTATTATAGTGGTGGCAAAGAATTGGAAATTGAGGGGATGCCCATCAAGCTGTGGTATGTGAATGTAATGGAATACCATTATGCTATAGGAAATGATGAGCAGGCAGACTTCAGAAAAACCTGGAAAACCTTATATGAACTGATGCTGAGTGAAATGAGCAGAACCAGGAGAATATTGTACACTGTAACAGCCACACTGTGAAATGACTGACTTTGACAGACTTGGCTCTTCTCAGCAATGCAAAGATCTAAGACAACTCCAAAAAACTCATGATAGAAAATGCTATCTACCTCCAGAGAAAAAACTATGGAGTCTGAATGCAGATGGAAGTACACTATTTGCTCACCTTCTCTTTTCTTGTTTTGTTTTGATTCTTTCTGTGGTTCCTCCCATTAGTTCTAATTCTTCTTTACATCATGACTAATGTGAAAAAAAATACAGGGAGCTTAAAATAGTACAACTATGGCTTAACCTCTCAATTACCCATGCAATTCTCTAAGATATATAAGTTTAGAACAAGTGCTCACCTGTATATGTATGAGGAGTTTCCTTAGTATATATCAAAGGTAGAATCTGAAAGCAGATATTCCTGCTTCCAGTGCTGACACTATTCCAATAATGAATGCAGTTTTTTAGTATACAACATATTATATGCATGGCAGACATTTTCTGTTGTTAATTTTCTTTGCCTAATTCATGCGCCTGCTGAACTGCTTTAATCTTCTCATAAGGGAAATGTTTTTCTAGAAATGAAAGTGTATTGCTGTCTTTACCCTATATGGTATGATATCTAATAATTGTCTTCTGTGTAGAAAAATACCATTTTCTAGCACTTATTTTGTCTGATATTTGTAGTAGTTATGTCTCTGTAAGGGCTGACTCAGCTATATCCTCAAATCATCAAGTTGTATCATAAAATGCACTGATCCTAGCTGCATTATGCTACATAGATTTTAGTGTAATTAACCATGTATCAGAACCAGACATCTAAGCTAGATTAACTAAACATCATTATTTGAAGTGTGCGTAATATTCTGTCCCAATTTCTGTTTAGTCTGGAGTACTTTTCACAGTCAAAACTTCTAGCACATTATATTGGGATAGAATTGGTTATGACATATTTAGAAAGCACCTTTTTTTTTTCTGGTGAGGAAATCAGCGTTAAGTGACTTGCCCAGGGTCACACTGCTAGTAAGTGTCAAGTGTCTGAGGCCAGATTTGAACTCAAGAAAGCACCTTTCTTATCAACACACTGGTACAACTCCTCTCTTCCCACTTTTTGTCTTGCTTACCTACATTTCTTGTCTGTACTTATTTACACACTCCCTCCAATTGTTTTTTAGCTAGAATCAAAGTGTATTTGGATTCTTGCAACAACCCTGTAGCTGCTAAGTCATCAATATCTACTGCACAACCTAGCCAGATTAATCTTTTGGAAACATTACCTGATTCAAAAACCCACAATGCCTACCTTTTGTTTATTGGCTCAAGTTCAAACTATTTTGAAATATCAATTGCTATACTATTTATCAACTATTGAACTAACCTATAAAAACTATCATACACTTGCTTATATACTATCTTGAATTTTTTTCTAATTATTGCATACATATATGCCATAACTCTCTGACTAGACTGCAAAAATTTAAGAATATAATTTGGAAAGGTGGGGGCCTATGATTGCGTACCATATGATCAGACTCAGTTGGTAATGTTGATTAGTTTTCCTGAACTGCTTTTTTTCTTCTTTATTTTTTTTTTTATTCTTCATAACAAGGAACAACACCCCAGGGTAGGGAAATGTGAAAGGTGCTGTATTTGGAAATAAAGTGATATAAAAACAAAAGACACACACGTATGGATAAGAGGACATTGCGATAGCATGTAAATATGTATATATGTTTTATATATCCACATAGCCATATAAGCAGATAGATTGGTTGATAGATGATAAATAGATACATAGATGATATAGTTAGGAACCAGGCCGTTTATCCTTTTATAGCGGGCAAAATAGATACACCATGTATGGTGTTGTGCATGTAGTAGACAGTACGTGCATATTTTATACATTGCTTAATCAATCTGATCCTTCTTGGAATGAGTAAAGGAAAATAATAACTTTACCACATGTATATTCCCAATAAGATGAGTATCTGCCATAGCTATTTTTACCTTAAGAATGATATGGAATGTTTGTTCTTGAATTTTTTGGTCTGCGAACTACTTTGGTGGACCAAAGAATCACCCACCATACCTGGTGACTACTTGCCAACACTAAAAATTTACTATTCTCCACTTAAAATAGTTTGGGCCTTATTATTTCTTTCTGAGGTGGGATAATAGGGACTGAGAATGTGGCTGAAGGCCACAAACACTTCATAGTTGATAGAATCCTTACTCTAATAATTGCAGAAGAGAATCAGATTCATTTGTGATCTCACAGAATGTTAGAGGTAGAAGGGAACCATAAGGATCATCTACAACTGTGAGGTAAAAGGTTTTGTTCCATGCTGAAGCAATTTCACATACCAGTGAAGAGGTTGGGGGGATTTTTGTAGTCAGGGATGCCCTCAAATATTATATTGGTTCTGGTTAAGTCTTAACAGCATTTCTATTTTGAAAACTGCAAAATTCTTGACATGGTTACCACCAAGTTCCCTTTCCCGTCTCACCATCACAGTTTGTAATCTGTTATGATAGATCAGATAGAGAAGACAATGGAAGGGTGACCACAAAAACAGAATGATTGACATATGAAAATATTTTTTTACTTTTGGTTCAGTATAGGCAACTCCTGGGGTTCAGATATTCTCTGTCAATACAGACAGGCCACTGGTCTTAGAGGTTGGCATGCCACACAGAAGTTAGGTGACTTGCCTCTGGAAAAAACTACATCTGACAAAAAATTTATGCATTTATCTTATTAACTTAATCAACATCTAATTATAATAATGATAACTAGCATTTATATAGTGCTTTAAAATTTGCAAAGCATATTACATATATTTCATTTGATCTATATGGCCACTGATACTTTATGTTAACTATAGAAGAGATAAAATGGTTTAATACAGTGTTCCTCAAAAGGTGTTTCATAGGAAATTCTTCTTGATTGGAATTAGTCCAGTAGCCAGAATATAATTGCCCTAATTTTCAATCTGTTTCTGGATCTACGATTTGACCCTTCATTGATTGGCAGATTGGCCAAGACACTGCCTTATATCTATTTGTTCCCTGAGTGCAATTGTGACCTTAGGCAAGTCACTTAACCTCTCTAGGCCTTGGTTGTTTGTTTGTTTTCATCTCTAGGATGAGAGGGAATGGATGGACCAGATGATCTCCAAGGTACTGCCCAGCATTAAAGCTATAATCCTAATATGCTATAGTCTTTGTCTATATTTGTGCATAAACCAACTTCCATGCAAGTTTTATTGAATGAACTCTTATTCATTAAGTCCTTTCTCTTATTATTTTAGTATCTTAGGAGTTACTATCTTATCTCTAGAGCTGTTCATCTGTTTTAATTGTCTACTACAAATAAAACTTAAGTTATGCTACCTATTTCTTTTATAACTTTTAGTTAAATTGGTTGGAAAATATTGACTCAAAATTTTTGATAACTTTTTTTATTTTCTTTCCAGCGAAATCCCCCAATGGTGGTGGATGATCTTTTTGAAGACATGAAAGATGGGATTAAACTACTGGCCCTCCTGGAAGTTCTATCAGGGCAGAAACTGGTAAGTATTTTTTTTTTCTCTCTGACTCAGCAAATAACAACAACATGAATAGCAAAAAATAAGAACAAACAAACACACTTTTCACTGGATGTGTTAAATGGTCATATTCATGCTTAGGAATGGAGGTTGTTTTGGAGGAGGAAGAGTCTGGAAGGCCAATTAGGTTATTGCAACAGTGCTATGAGAGGGGAAGAGAGTTTGGATGAGAATAGGATGGACAAGAATTGTCAACTGATGAAGAATGGAGAGTGATGTGGCAAGGATGATGGAAGTCACAAATACTAGTGATTAGAATTGTGGTGCCTTTGATAGAAATAAGGGGATTGGGGAAAATAAGAGGAGTGGGGACAGATTTGGGATTCTATTTTAGACATGTTAATTATGAAATACTTGTGGCCCATACAGATGAATATGCTCAAAAGAGATTTGGAGATTCATGACTGAGGCTGAGAGAAATAAAGTTTGGACATCTTAAGTTGGGGGTTCACCAATGATAGTTGAACCCATTGGCAGCTGATGGGATCACCAAGTGAGAACATATCAAGAGAAAAGAGAAGAGATTCCAGGGCAGACTTTATGCTTTCATCCACTGATTGGGGACTGCACACAGAGGATCATCCAGGAAAATAGAGTTGAAATGATTGGCCAGATAGGTAGGAGGAGAACTAAGAGAGAGCAATATCAGAAGAAAAAAAAACAAAGAAAAGAGCACCTAAGAGGGTGTAGTCAACAGTATCAAAAACTGCAGATAGATTAAGAAAGGTAAGGATTCAAAAAAGGCCTTTGTATTTAACAGTAAGAAAAGTATTGGTGATCTTGGAGAGAGTAGTATCAGTCAAGTGACAGGGTCAGAAGCCAGGCTTAAAGAAGTCGACATAAATGAGAGATGAGAAAGTGGAGGCATTTACAATCCCCCAGTAGTTAAGTTTTAAGCTTCGTGGCTTCTGGTAGAAATATGCTCGAAGGCTGCTTGCCTGAACACCCACCCCAGTGACATATTTCAGGTTACATTTTTAGTTGGAAGCATATTTACATTTCATAAAATCCATTTGACCATGGGTAGTAAGATAAAGAAATTCATAGAATCATAGAATATCAGAGGTAGAAGGGGACTTAAGGGATTATCTAACCTAACTCATCCTTAAACAGAAATTTTCTCTCTAACATCTCTTATCAGGCAGCTTCCACTTGAAAATCCCCAGATGTTGAGAAATCACATATCATGGCATCCAATTCTACTTTGGAACACTTTTTTTTCCTGATAACAACCTTTCCCATTCCACTAACCAGCAAGTAATGCCTTATGAAAAAGAATAAAACAGAAAGAGAAAAAAATTATTTCAGCCAAACTGATCCACACATCAACTGAGTCTGGCAATATATGTGCAGTGTTATAGTCCCGTACTCTTCTATCTATGGAAGAAGGAAGGGCAGAATATTTCTGATCTCTTTTTGGGGGCCAAACTTTATCTTAATTACACAGTGTTCAATTTTCTTTTTTTTGGGGGGGGTCTTTCCATTTAATTTGTTGTGATCACTGTATTCTTGGTTCAGCATACTTCATTCTGTATCAGCTCATATAAGCCTTCTCATGTTTCTCTGAATTTGTTATATTTATTATTTCTTATAGTATAGTATTTTTCCACTGTGATCATACCATAATTTGCTTAGCCATTCCTCAGTCAATGGGTGTATAATTTGTTTCCAGGTGTCTGTAATGCCCTGGTAAGGTAGCACACCTTCAAAACATTAATATCAGGACAGTTAGCTAGCCAGCATTTATATAGGCACTTAACTATATGTAAAACACTGCTAAATGCTAGTCATGTAAAGAAAAAAAAACAATCTTCTTGTCTAAAGGAGCTCACATTCTGATGGGGTATAAAACATGCAAATTACTGTGAACATATAAGATCAATGTATAGATGGTACAGGAGACAGAGTGTTGGACCTGGAGTCATGAAGATTCATCTTCCTGAGTTCAAATCTACACTCAGACACTGACTGTGTGACCCTGGGCAAGTCATTTAACCCTGTGTTTGCCTTAGTTTCCTCATCTGTAAAATGAGCTGGAGAAGGGAATCTCAAACCATTCCAATATCTTTGCCAAGAAAACCCCAAAGGAGGTCACAAAGAATTGGACACGACTGAAAAATGACTGAACAACAAATAGCCACCCCAGTACTTCAGAGGAGTGACTCACAACCAGTAGGATTCAACTCTTCTTCTTGTTATCAGGACTGCAAGTTCCTTATCCTGGCAGCACCCATCTATCCTCATAATTGTTTCCTGGGGTATGAATTGCTGCTTCTTCCTCAGAGGGCCCCGCTTTACTTACCATAGGCTAAAAAAATCAGACCTATTACATAGCTTCAGAGGTTTCATCGTCGTTTTTCTTTTCTTTCTCTATGCTGTATGCTTCAGGTTTCCAACTTGGATTCTCCTCTGCCTCATTAAACTCTGTTCTCCCCCATATCTCCTTTGAAGCACCTCTTTCATTCCTTAAATTCTTCCAAGGAATACTTCATTCCTCCTAGTGAGTTGGAAAGAAAAGAGCATTTCTGTAGTCCTTTAACTCCCTCCAGTTCACCATGACCAAGGTCTTCTTTGATTGCATTTGCACTGGCCTTTTCCTCCTGGTCACAGGACAGAATGTTTTCTAACAAGTTATCAGGTAACAAAATATCTCTACTCCTTTGTTTGAGTTAATATAATGGCCCCCTTAGAGAATGGGTAGGGTTTTCTTTGGTTTTGGGTTTTTTTTTACTTTATTATTATGAACTTGACAAACAATAAACATAAATACACCCAGATACAAAGTCTAAAAAAAATAGGATTGCAGTGTGAATCTCTATTATGTACAGCTATTTAGAAACAAAAGTTGATATTAAATGTAATATTCCCTGCTTGTCTATATTCCCATCTGAACTTCCTTTGAGCCTGTATTCACGTTGACACTATTACTACTGCAGCTTGAGCCTCTTCCATTTTAAAGTGTGTCTAGCTTCAAGTGTTCAGAGATTGCATGAGGTAAAACATGTACAACCTTAGCAGCTCAGCACCAAGTTCTACTTTATGACACCTTCAGTTTCTATAGCTCCATTAACTCACAGAGCCTCATAAGCATGGGGAGAGCTTGAAACATGCTCATCTGTGACATGACTAAGATTAGGGACAGATAGAGAGATAGACAGACGGATGATAGGTAGATAGATGATAGATTGATAGAAAAGCAGATAAATGCACACACACACACACACACATATATGAGAGTATCTTTGAGATTCTGATGTTGAGATCAATGGGTAAGCATGTGTACAATACAAGCATATGTACGTGTGTATGTGTGTATGTATTCTTTGAGATTCCAGAATATATTACTCTTATATTTGTACACAAGCTGAAAAACTTCATTGACTGTAATACTAGTATTAATCTCTGTGCTGTTCTTTTTCCAGTTGTGAAGAATGACTGGTTTATACCTGTGTGGGGGTGGAGGAGTGGAAGGGGGCAGAAGGGAATGAATGTGGATTTTTCATGTTTGTGTTTACATAGTAGCAGCATCAATCATCACCAATGAAAGGACAGCTTGTTCAAAAGTATGTGTCTTATTGGAGCCACCAAGCCAATCAACATAGGAATATTGACAATAAAATATTAAAAACTGCCCTTTTAGAGTGTATTTTAAACAATTAAAAAATAGATTTCTTTTGTTTGCTTAGGTTTATTGATTTCAGTGCTATAGAGCAGTAGATAATTTATGTTTACAAACTCTATGTAAATAACATTATTAATAGTTGGACAAAAAGGCTGAGAACATAATCCTTAAACTAGTGTACAGAATGGTAGAAACTAAATCCCAGGTTGGGTATTTTCTTTCTGATTTTACTCTTGCTTTTCTAGCCACAGTTACATAATCATAATTATACATGTAATTTATCTTTATAAGTTTTTTTTTTGCTTGAACAATATAGGTACTCCCTTAAATCTATAATTAATTTTGTGGTTAAATGAGTTTACAAACACACACACACACACACACACACACACACACACACACACACACACACACACAGAGGTAGGTGGTACATTGGGAAGTGAGCAGGAAGACCTGAGTTAAACTCCTACCTCAGACATATACTAGCTGTATTACCTTGGGCAAGTCAGGTAGCTTCTCACAGCCTCAATTTCCTCAGCTGTAAAATGAGGATAGAAGTACTACCTCCCAGGGTTTTTGTGAGGATCAAATGAAATAATTTCATATATATAGATAGATAGATAGATAGATGGAGAGAGAGAGAGAGAGAGAGAGAGAGAGAGAGAGACAGAGACAGAGAGAGAGAGAGAGATATACATATATGTATATGTGTATATGCACACACATATATAAACATATGTGTATATATATACATATATATAACTTTTTGAACCTTAAAATGGTATATAAATGCTAGCTATTGTTTTTATTATTATGTATATGCTTTGTAAAATGTAAAGTACTACATAAATTATTATTACTATTACCTTGGGAAATTATTTCTTTGAGAGTTTTATAAATAGGATAAGATGATTTGGAGAAGCAGCACTTAATTGTTTACTTTGAGCACTTAGTGGCAGACTCAAAAAAGAACTGTATATGGAGTCAGAGACCCCAGTTTGAATTTTGATCTGTCACTTATTATCTGTGTCTGTTTGGGCAAGTTACTTCCCTTCTCTGGTCCTTCATCTGTAAAATGAGTGGGTTGGATTGGATGATTTCTAAGGCTGTTTCCTTCTTTAAATCTGATCCCAAGATTTTGATAGCAAGTATATAAATCAATTCAAATATAGAAACTTTATTATAATTTTTAATGTTTTCAAGCTGTACTTGAATATCAAACCACTTCTGCTCCAGGTTCTCCATTCTCAACATTTGTTAATTTTTTTATTGTCACTTCCGGTACGGGCCCAACAACATGAACTGAGTTCAAAAGTTGTCAGACGTGTAATGTGATCTTGTTTTGCTTAAGCAACTCAATCTAAAAAATAAACAAAAACCAAACATTGTTTGAATTAGAATCTTGCCTTCTAGTAGAATCTATACCTCTCCTATTTAAGGCATTCTGTTAAAATAATAGACTTTTACAGCTGGAGGGGACCTTACAAACCACCTTCCTCCAACTTCCTCATTTTTTAGATGAGGTGTTCAAGTGACCTGACAAGGGTCATGCTTACAATTAGTGCCTCAGTCTGAAACAGAATCTGAGTCTTCTAACTCTCAATCCAAAAAATTGTTGACAACACATCACAAAGTATGGAATCATTCTCCTTATGTATTTCAAGAGTCTGGCCTATCCAAACTGAAATTATTAAAATATCTTAAATTACAGTGCTGCTTTAAATTTTCTCATTCGTGTGCATTTTAGCGGTTCATCCTTTCATGTGAATTTTTATAGTTACTGAGGAAGGGCAGTAAGATTTAAAGCCAAAAGAGGGGTAGTACAATCGGAAGAGATAAATGAGCTGATGTGGGGTTTTGCTTCCCGTTCTCTCTCTGCTGACCTCTGAATAAAAATATGCTGCCTGAGACATCCTTTCCATGAGCCTCCCCCTTTTTTATCAAAGGCTTGTGAGGGAGGATGTTTCGTTTAGAAGCATTAAAATTTCATTGCGAATTTGAAATTATATGTTTTCAAGTGTTACGTAATTACCTGCTGGGTAGAGCTATTTTGGTAATATAAGAACATAAGAATCACTACACTGGGTCAGCCCCACTATCCATTCTCTCCAATGTTCTGTATCTCACCGCAGCACCAGGGGATATATTATGGAAAGATATGGTTGTCCTTGACCTCAGTTGTGATACAGTAGGATATGTCTGCCAATATCCTAGTTCCTTTTAATAATTCATTATAAATTCTTCATCTGTGGATTTATCTACAACTTTTGAAAACAATTTCCATTTTTACTTTTGACTTTAATATTAGATTTTCTCAGTACTTAAGGAAACCTACTTTGCTTTTCTGTTTAGTAGTCCAAGAAACCTTTTTTTTTCCCCACTATAATGATAATTATCTGTTCTCACTTGTAAATGAACATAGGATGAGTAGGTTTGATTTTAGATTTCTGAATTGCTAAAGAATGTTATTAATTTCCATTAATTTGTTTGGACTAGACATGCAATTTCATTGATATAAGGGTCTCCTAGTGAAAAAATTCCCTTCATTAGTTGAGAATAGCATTTGCTTTACAACTCAGAGCCTTGGACTTAGAAGAGAGTTGCTTGAGGCACTGATAGGAGGTCATATAACCAGAAGCAGGACATGAGCCTGGAGCTTCCTGACTCCAAGGCTAGGTTTCCCCACATTACACCAGAGCTGCCACTCATTGAAAAATTACATATAATTAGAACAATCTGAATAAAGGTCAAGCATTGAATTAATTATTATTCTGAAGTATTTGGAAAGTAAAAAAAAAAAAAGAAGCTATGAGATGCTTTTTTCTTTTATCTCTATCAGAGGAAACTGATATTTTTCCATAGAGGAATGAATCATATCTGCTTAGATGTTCTTTTCACATTTCCCGTTGGTCAAAGAATGGATAATATTTACCTGTAGGAAATCTCCATGAGTATTAAGGATCCTTTTTTTTTTTTTTACCATTTCATGTTATTGAAAATCAGAAACTCAATGAAATGTTAGAGCCAGGGGGAGACCCTGGCCATTAATCATTCATCAAAATATTTATTTAATGTCTATAATGTACTGCTCTGAAGCGGTTACAAAGATGGCTGAGCCATGTTCCTTGCTTTTAAGGAGCTTATGTTATAATAAGGGAAATAAACCACATACAGTCCAGATATCTACAATACATGATCATGGCGAGTACCACAAGGAAGGTACAGTTGAAAGATGAAAACCAAAGTCTCTGCCCTCAGATGATATATAGTCTGTGAAGTGATTTAACAGTTCAGAGGAGAAAGAGATAGTTTTTGATTATGTGGAAAATTTCAGAGTGTCTGAGTTGGTCCTGGAGAGCCTACTTCTCCTCATGGAATGTGGGGTGTGTACTTTCCCTAACTGAGAAGATACTCGAAAGAAAAATTGAGTTCTCTGCCTGAGATGGTTATTAAAATCACTCTCCATTTACAAAAAAATGATTGGAGGATTGTTTTAATGCATAGTCTGTGTTCTTATTGGCTTTCCTTTTCTAAAAATGATGTGGTTATATCGAAGAAGATCTGAGCATAAGGAAAATGGCACATTTTACATGTTTTATAGGTCCCAGAACAGGAAATGTACCTATGTAAAATGACAGTTTACTCTATCAGTCTGAGATTTGGTGAAACAGTCCCTCTAAGTTAAAGCTAAGATTCTATCATGTTGATTTGATAGAATCCCAACTCCTTACAGGAAGAAAAGGACCACTAAGTCATAGTCTACTTTGATTTGGTTGTCATCTACGTTAGTGGAGGGAATTTATAAACTGTGAGCCCCCACATAGAAATGAGAACCTACGTCTATATATGTATTTCCAGTAACTAAGCATTAAAGTCAGTTGTTCAGAGTGTTATTCTAGAAGCCCAGCTAGTATAGGTTGGAAATGGTTTGGTAATCCTTTTAGAAAAAAGATGAAGGCATTTAGAGATAGAACTAAAGGAAGTCTTATATGCTAAATATATTTCTCTCCTTATCCCTCTCAGGATAGAAAATCCTAAATGATACAGTTTCTATCCTTAAGGGGATTACATTCCATCAGGGGAGCTAATTTGTACATTCATGTTTATAAATAAATACAAAGTAATTTTGATAGTGGAGGTTCAGGGTGGTTGTAGGAAGAAAAATCAGGAAAGCTTCATGTAGAAGGTTGCACTTGAGCTGATTCTTGAAAGAAATAAGATATTCTAATATTCAAAGTGAGGAAGTTGTATAATTAATACAGGGATAAGGGAGAGAGAGAGGGTGAAGAATAGCAAGAAATCCTGTTTGAGTAGCTGATCCAACCTTCCTCCTTCAACTTCTTATCTCTTCCTTGTCTCTCATAGATATAGAGCTAGAAGAGCCCTTAAAAACCCTCTAGGTCAAACTCCTCATTGTTTAGATGAGGAAATTGATTTTGGAAGGGACCTTAAAGGCCTTCTTGGTCAACCCCCTCATTGTACAGATGAGGAAATTGAGTATCAGAGTGGTTTAGTGGCTTTCTTAGGGTCATAAAACTAGTGTCTTTATATTGTCTTTATATGAGTTTTATATTGTCATAATACTTTGATTTTAGTGTGGCTGAAAAAGTTATTGTAGGCATGCTTTCTGTGTCAGCTGGGTGACCCAGTGGATATAGTGCTGGGCCTGAAGTTAGGAAGACTCATCTTCCTGAGTTCATATCTGGCATCAGACATTTATTAACTATATGACCCTGGCCAAGTCACTTAACCCTATTTCCTTCAGCTTACTCATCTGTAAAATAAGCTGGAGAAGGAAATGACAAACCACTCTATTATCTCTGCCAAGAAAATCCCAAATGGGGTCACAGAGTCAGACACGACTTAAATGACAGAACAACAACAAAAGGTGTATGTAGTGTGTATGTATTGGTGATCTCATTTTTCTCGATAATAGGTATTTGTGCGTGTTGTTTGTATGTTAAAGGGAGTTTTATAATCAGAAAAGAGAATCAGGCAGCTAATAATAATCAATTGTGATCTTTTCATTTGTATTCTTTTTCAGCCATGTGAGCAAGGACGCCACATGAAAAGAATTCACTCGGTGGCAAACATTGGTACTGCCCTTAAGTTTCTTGAAGGAAGAAGGGTAAGTAGGTAATGGGGAAAGAAAGCATTGAGTTTTTTGTTTGTTTGTTTGTTTGTTTTTTACCATTGCTTTTTTGAGTTTGGTTTACGTTGAAAGTTTGGGACCAAAAAACCTAATTTATCATAAATTGATATTTAAAATTATTAGAAATGAAGAACACTTTAAGAAACCTCTATACAACTCAAATAACAAAATGATGATGATAATAATGATGATGATAAATACTGAGCTTATTACTGAAGAAAGCATCATTTGATCTTTTTGGTTTTCCTAATTTAGGAGCAAACTGAAATAATTGGTGATTTCTTTTACTTGTTAAAATATGCTGCTAGGCAAATATATGAAAAGTAGTTGTATAGATGGTTACTCCAAAAGCTACTGGGACTTACTGCAATGATAGTGATTGGGTCTCCATTGATAAGATATTTTGTATGAGGACTGTTAAAGCAGCTAGGTATGATTAGATTTGATATAAGAAGGGTTGGGATGGGGAGAGAAATGTGATAGCTGCCTTCAGATATTTGAAAGGTGGTCATGTCAAGGAGTAACAAGACTTTTTCCGTTAGATGTGAGAAAGCTGAGCTATGTAGGGGTCAATATGGGCTTGATATCAGGAAAAACTTACTAACTGTTGGGGAGGAATAGGATGTCTTTAGAGATGATGGACTCCATCTCCTTGAAGTTTTCAAGCAGCAGCAAGATAACCACTTATTGGATATATTATAATGGGTTTTCTTTCCACATATGGGTTGGTCTACATGTCTACTGAGGTGATTTTGCAATTCTTCAATTCACATGTCCCTCTGTGACATATAGACTGCATAGGAAGAAAATAATTGTTCTTGTGCAATATTGGCCAGTGCTTTGCCAGCTCCATGCATTCTGAAAGCACTTCACACAATCCATACCCCCTTCCATGGATCTTTTGACTGCAAATAGGGCAATGTTGATCTGGGCATTTAAAACATGGTGGCTTTCCTTCTCTTTCTTTAAGCCAAATAAACCATGTGATGCTATAACACACAAACATTCTGAGCCGTTGTGTAGTAGAGAGAACACTCATTTAGGAGTCAGAATAGATGATTTTGAATATTAGCTCTTCTGTTTAGCTACCTGCATTACCTTGGTTTAATTGATCAATTAATGTCTCTAGGCCTTAGTTTCCTTATTTATATACTGATGGGGGTTAAATTGTCATTTTAAGGTCCTTTCTAGATCCAAATTTCATAATACTAATTATTATTATGTGGGAAGATTTAGTATTGAAGATTTAGTATTAAAGATTTCATAAAGATCATTAGTCACTCTATGAGATTGTTGGTGATGTGGATTTTTTTATACCACTGACTTGTGGGAGCTATTGCCTGTACCTTTGAGGAATATTCTCTCTGCTATTAAAAAAATCAATATTCAAAAGGTACATTTTCACAAAGCAACTCCTAGGGATAAAAGAAAACCTTGTTTTTTATTTTTTCTTTCACTGAAATGTAGGTCAAGTCCTTCGTTAATTCTAGATGAATGTATTTTGTTTTGTTTTGTTTTGTTTGCAGGATAAATCTTGACAACAGATAGGATATTGGGGGATGAGTTGAAGAGTTGAAGATGACACTTAGGTTGTGAGATTGGGGGACTGGGAGGATGGCAGTGCCCTCTACAGTAATGGGAATGTTTGGAGGGGAAAGGGAAGGGTTGGGGGAAAGATAATGAATTCTGATTTGGATATGTTGAGTTTAAGATGGCTACAGTACATCTAGTTTGATCTGTCTAAATAGTGCAAGAAGGGCAGTATTATTGCAAAACTAGGTTGGGGCCAGGTTCTTAATGGTTTTAAAAGCAAACAGGAGTTTATATTTTATTCTAAAGGCAATAGAAATCCATTAGAGTTTATTGAGTAGAGTCAGTGACATAGTCAGAGCTATGTTTCAAGAAAATTACTTTAGTATATGCATAGAGTGGATGATTTGGAGTGGAGAAACACTTGAAGCAGGAAGAATAATGCGAAAGCAAGTGTAACAGTCCAGGTGAAAAATTATGAGAGCTTGAACTAAGGTTGTAACTATAGGACAATAGAGTGGAGAATGAAATGAGAGATGTGGTAGTAGAAAACACAAAATGGGACAATTGATTGGATAGGTGGGGCAAATGTAACTAAGGATGTTGAACATACAATTTTCACAATAAAGAAATAGATATCCATAACAATGCACTTCTCTCCCTACAGAAAGTTCCCCTTTTTCATATTCTAAACAACCCTTCTTAAATCTCTGAAATCCTATTTTTGAGACTCTCAGATACCTAGTTCTGTGATAGAGTAGATTTAACAGATATGCCATGAAATCGGTAAGCCTTATGTACTTTGTCCTGACTCATCCACAAACTCTAGCCATCTCTTGATGTGCAGGTTAATTAGTCCAGGCCCTCACACACCCCTTGGCATATGGAAAAGAATTGCTTTGTACATTTTAAGTATTAAAATAGGGAGGGAGTAGAGGGTGAGAAACTTGTGATGGACCAAATATTGGCAAAGAATTTTCTTTAGAAGTAGGGGTACAATTTAACACTAAATTCTTGTTTAGTAGGTACAACTATATTGGGAAAAGATCATCTATAAAGTGAATATAGGCTAATTATGAGTTATTGATATAATTCAGATCATGGAAGAGGGTTGGCATTGGACAAAACCAACTTGGTACTGAAAACTATTAATCAGAAAGATAGTATAAAAGGACAAAGATTAAACATTCCTTTGTCTTCTACAATGATCAATTAATTTATTGTAGTTTTCAGTGCCTATTAAAAAAGGATAGGAAGAGTGAAGATGGAGATTAGTTAGAGGACAATCAAAATAATTAAAATGATCAAAGATTGGTTCTTCGAGGAGTGGTTGAAGCCATCAGGATTGTTGATTTAGCATTTATTCAAAATATTTCATGTTTGCTGTATTTCTTGTACTCTAGTAAGTGCCCAAAAGAATCTCAATAAACTTGTCTAGAAGATGAAAGGCTAATAATTCCTGTTTCTAAACATTTGAAGTCTTCATCTGATATTTCTAATATTCCTATTATTTAATATTTAATACATATTTTCTAATATTTAAATACATATGTACATATCTGATTATGAGAAAGTTTATAATATTTACTGAATTATTAGTCTGCATATTCAATAAATATTTTTGATTGAAACCAGAGCTAGAGAAACAAGAGAGCTTAAATTAAACTGATAGGATTTTAGGTAGATAGAAGAAAAGACTTTTTGATCATCAAGATAATAAAACATGCAAATGGGTGACTAGGGGAGATTGAGAAATTTCATGCCTTGGAGAGCTTCATGAATAAAATAGATAGCTGTGTGTTGAGATGACTTAGACATCACAGAATCACATTATTTAAGAGTTGGAAGGGACTTCAGGAACTATTGAGTCCAATCCACACATAAAAGGAATCCTCACCATAACATACCTGACAAGTAGTCATCCAGCTTCTGTTTGAAGACCTTCAGGGAAGGTCGACTAACCTCCTTTGGAGGCAGCCCTTTCCACTTTTGGGCAGCTCATATTAGAGTGAAGTGTTCCTGACATGAAGCTCAAGTTGGCCTCCTTGCAACTTCCTCCCTGATCCTGGTTCTGCCCTCTGGGTCCACATGAAACAAGTCTTACCCTTCCTCCAGATGGTGGCCTTCCACATAATTGAAGAGAGCTAGCTTGCCTGGTTGTCTTTCATTTTTCTAGGCTAACCTCTTTCAACCAGTCTCTGTGTGTTGTGAATTTGAGGTCATTTAGCATCTTGGTTGGCTTCCTTTGGAGGCTATCGAGTTTACCAGTGTCCTTCTCAAGTCATGGTGCCAAGATATGAAGATGATACTCCACATGGATTCTGATGATGGCAGAATGCAGTGGAATTATTGCCTCCCCATTCCTAGAAGTTATATCTACCCCTCTTAATGCAGCCTTACATTGTCATATCATTTTTAGCTGCCACATCCCATTGCTCATTAATTAAACTTTCAGTCCATTTTCCTTTTAAAAAACAATTGTGGTTTAAAGTCACAGGGCTGGACTACATGAACATGAGGTCTATCTCAAATCTTTTATGGATTAAAACAATTTCCCTATTTTTTTCTTAGCTTTCTTGTAAGGACCTATTCTAAAATTAATGTTTTAAACAAACTAAATAAAAATTCTGCATTTCAAATTGCTCCTCTCTATAGTACTTAGCTAATTTTCCCTTTGACCAATCAATGCTGCTTTTTTATAATATGTATGTCATCTTTTTCCTTTGTTTTCCATGTCAGTCCATGTACAGAGGATCACCGGTTAGTACAAGACTTTGTAGAAACTTTAATTCCTGATTTCTTATAGGTAAAAAAGAACCTAAGTTACATGATATTTCAAACTTCAAAGTAAGTGCATCATTTTAAACCACTTGCCATGTTCTTGGGTTCCAACCAGCATTCGAAGGGAAAGAGTTACATCTTCTCTGTCTGACATTTTGTTGGTAATTCTTTGCATGATGTTGCATTTTTTTTTCACCATTAAGTAAAGCAAGTATTCACAAATACTTGACGTTAAAAAACAAAAATATCTTTTTGTAATGCACCTAATGAATGTCACTGAAAATTCAGCCAAGATTGTCTACTTGAATGTTTTTATGAGTTCAACTCACATTTATATACTATTACACAGGCATGCTTAAATTTCATTGTTATCTAATAAGCTCTACAGGGTTATGCCAATAATTAAAATATGATTTTCCCTGACTTATGGTAATGATCCACTTTTTATTTTTTAAACAGATTAAACTAGTGAACATAAATTCCACTGACATTGCTGATGGCCGACCTTCTATTGTCCTTGGCTTGGTTTGGACCATTATTCTGTATTTTCAGGTATGAAGATAGAACATCATTACCATTTTGCTATATTATTAAATGATGAGGCAGTAGTTCTGCATTTTCCCTACTGTGAATTGAGAACTAAGCTAGCAGAAACATAACCTAGAATGGCAAATAAAATTGCTATGACTGAAACAATAATACCTCTACCTCCCAGTACTTATTCCCCTGCCCAGGTCCAACTGTATGTTGATACAAGACCCTCAAAGTAATGGTTGGAAAGAGAAGAAGGAGCACACTGGGATGAGTAGTGTTCCAGTTCAAGGTTGAATTTCTACAGAGAGAAGGCTGGAATTGGAGGTAGAAGGGTGGGAGTGGAGGCCAGATGAGGTAACAAGTAGAGGATATACTTCTTAAAAAATAACTCTCTTCAAGGTAGAAGATTATCATTTAACTAGTTACTAGGATTCTTATAGATGTGGAAGAGGAAATAATTCACCCTCTTCCCCTGAAACACTGTACCAACAACAACATTCAGTACAGAAGAACAGACATATGAAGCTTAATTATTTTGTTCACATCTCGTTTGGTTTGTATGTATGCACATCTGAGGCAAAATAATTGGAGATAATTTTTTAAAAATGTTTCATTTATAAACTACATTTTCCAAAAGCCAGGCAATATCAGTGATATACATCATGAATAATAAATTACATATCTAAACAGTAATTTGTACCCTAAAATACAATTGTACAAATTAATATGAGGAATAGGAAAGGTTGTAAGGTGAATTGTGGAATCTAGCTGTCACCAGCTAAACTGAGTGATGACACACAAATCTCTTTTCTTCTGTTGACCTCCATTTCATTATCTGTTTTAATTAGGCACATTGGCTTATTTGGTGCATGGGATGCCTTCCTGCTCTGAAATTCTATATTTTTGTAATACTTCACCATTTCAGATAATGTATTATTATTAGATCATTATGAGTGTTTTGCATTATAGTTCATCTAATGAAAGTCCCATTTGATTATATTTCTTTTATAATTCATTGACAGCACACTTAGCACTCAAATACAAAATGTCCAACAGGGAACTACAGTGCCAGTATTTATACTGTAACTGGCTTTGTTCATTCATGAACAGATTGAAGAGTTGACGAGCAACCTTCCACAACTCCAGTCACTGTCCAGTAGTACATCTTCTATGGACAGCATCCTCAGCTCAGAAACTGCCAGCCCACCAAACAAACGGAAGGTGGTGACCAAGGCCCAAGGGAATGCAAAGAAGGCCCTATTAAAGTGGGTGCAGTACACAGCAGCAAAGTAAGTGCCTCCTGAATCCATTTTGATACTGATCCTAGAGGTAGCAGGATGAATCACTGAGGCTTTTTTTCTGTTTAGGCAAAAGCTCCAAGAAATGTTTGAGGGGCTTTCCTGTTGCTCGCTTTGCTTTGTTATTGAAAAAGGGAATGTTTAATAAGAAGTCTAAGCTTGTTTCTTCACGCTTCTTCTTGTATAAGAGTCATTAAGGGGATTAAAATTTATGCTTTTCTTAATCGATAGAAAAGATTATGACTTCTATTTTAAGTCATTGTTGCTGATATTTTTGTCTTTACAATTAATCTTTTGAGAGTTAATTCGTAGCTTCAAAACTGTCTAATTCCTCTTCAGGATTTTCATATCCTTTTAGGCAAATGATCTGAAGTTCAGCTTTTTAAAAAAACTGAGTTCTTTGCTGTTTCATGTTATCTTTTTCAGTGACTAGAGTTTTCTTTGCTTCCTATTTTTTTTTTACTTTAATTGTAGATTTCATTGTAAAGCCCATTTTTATGCCTTTGGGGATGAAGATTCACTATTTGTTATCAGTGTTTATGGAGGCATAGCACAAATGCATGCTTGAAAAAAGAAAAGACTGGAGTTCTTTTGGAACTCTAGGAAAAAAAAATAACAAATGATTACTCCAAAATGGTTGTCTTCTCAGATAAAATAAAATGAGGGGCTTATCATTCTAATAACTCAAGAGGAAAGGCACCAAAAAACATTTTTGGTTCAATTTTCTGAATATTTCAGGTTCAAGTAGAATGGATTTTTTTGTTGTTTAGATTATCAGCAGGAAAATGTGTTGTTCTTTACCTTATTTTGCAGTAGTTGAAATTCCTCTTTTCTATATCTGTGAATTAAAGGTTAAAAAAAGTATTGTTCCTTGAATAAAATACCCACTTTACTTGGGACTTGAGAAACATGATGCAATGGAAAGATTACTGGTTCTGGAATCAGAATCCTTCCTCTGGTTCTTACTACCTAAGTGTTTTAGGCAAGCTACTTAACCTTCCTGGGCTTCAGTTTCTTAATTTATAAAATGATGGGTTAGAAAAAATGAAATTAAGGTTCTTTCTAGTTTTAGATTAATAATGTTTGGCTATTTTGAACATTAAGGAGTTTCATTCTCAGAATGTTTTGGAAGCTTCAGTTCAAATGGTTTATATAAAAGCAGAATGTGAATAATGTGTTGTCATAGGAAGTTAAGTTTTCTGGATTTTGTGGTAACTAACATTTTTATGGCATATATTAACATAAAAAAACTATTTCTAAAATGAACACTCTGAGGTGGATTCTAGTTTAAAAAACCTTATGTTTCATCCAATCTGTAATAATCTAGCTGTTACTAATATGTACATATTAAATCTTAACTGTGCAGGAGGAGCAGAAGGGCCTGGTAAGTGGACACTGGAATATACCTGCCATGCCTGCAACGGTCTTGTGATGGTTTTCCAATCTGTCTTAATATGGTATCTGTAATCAATAGTGTTGCCTTTGTACATTGCTTCATACAGCATTAAATTATGTGACTACGAAGTAAATGGATCAGCATTTAGAGTTTCATCAGTTTGAGATAAACCAACTCTCAATTTAATGCTGTCAGAGCAGTCCTTCATTTTCTGTTGTCTCTCCCATATTCCGTTAGGCTTCAGTTATGTGCCAAGTTACGATGTGTGATAAGTTCTAAGTCACTCCTACAACTCTCATACTTTTGTGATGTCAAATTAGCATTTTTCTATCTGATCTGTGCATCTTTCTTGTTACTTGAGGACTGAGTATTTTTCATTTTATTATTCTAACAAAGGGATATGTAACATGTTAGAATTGCCTGTTATTCAGGGCATATTAATCACTGTGAATCACTGTAGTAAGTGGTTGTTTTGTAAATGTGTCACATCAAATTTACAAATGGAATGGAAAGTCTGTGGATAAGGAAGATTGCTTTAATGATTAGTAAGTAAATCACTGCAGATAAAGTATGATTTCTATAAAAATCTGAAAATAATACTATGGAGATAGAAATATATCCTAATACCAGGCTATTCCAAAAACTTCAAATTCAACAACATTTATTAAGTGCCTACTATGTGCAAGGCACTGTGTTAGGTGGTGGAAAAGCAAAAATAAAATATAATTCCTGCCCTAAAAGAGTTTAGAATGTTATGGGGTGGTGGTAGTGGGATATACACAAAGTGTTATATATGGAAGTACAAAAGAAAGGCAAAAAGGTATGAGACATTTGCACCTGAGCTCTAAATCTTGTGCTGCCTTATTATAGTATAGAGACTGTAAGCCTAAGATCCATGCATTTTTAAAACATATTTTATAACTATTTCAATATAATTAGTTTCTTTTGTAATACTATGCATTTTATTTTATGTATTTAAAATGTTATTCTTGGAAGGAGTTCATAGACTTCACCAAATGACCAGTGGGGTCCATGGCACACAAAAAGCCCCTGCTATAGTAGAAAAAGTATAACATCTTTGTGGAAACACTAATATATATAATATTATGTAAATTACATAGTTATATATTCCATAATTTAGCCAAACTAAATATAAATGAGATCAATAATTGCAGATTCACTCATATCAGTTCTAGAAACCAAATCCTAGAATGACAAAATCATAAATATCGAGAAGCCTTTTCATGAAGATTTTTTTTAACAAACTAAAATTTTACAGAAAAGTTTTAGAACCTAAATACCTTAAAAAATGAAAACAAAAAAAAACCCTCAAGAAGAGAACATTCCCTGCCATTTGGAATGCAACATAGAAGAAATGTTATAATTTATAAGGAATAGACTTTGCTAGAGTTCTTCTTAGAAGCCTCATTATAGAATATTTTGAAGTTTAAATTGAGGGCTTAAAGCCTATGCCAACATAGTTTGCACTCTAGAAGGACTTACCAAGTGAGACAGTCTAAGTGTGGATCCATTTCTATTTGTTGTCTAGGCTAAGCTCAGAGAAGCTCAGGGAGTTAGTGTAGGGCAATGAAGAAAAGTGATGGATTTGAGAGTTTTAATTTGCAATTCAGCAAAATCAGAAAACATATGGGAAACTCATGAATGAATGGTTAAATGAAGTGAACAAACAAATAAATTATACTGAAGTTCTGCTCTTCTATATGAAATATCTGGTAATAAGCTATGCCTTCAGGTTACCAACTATAACAAATGATAAAATTCCTTATGCGAAGTAAAAACCCAATAAACCTTAAAGTTTGGACCAAAACACTGCAGGAGAGGTTAGTACTGGTATGCTTCTAGTTTATCAGAAGCAACTTTTATTTATGTGTACAGTTAATAAATAAATTCATTGAAGAGAGAAATATTTTCAGCACAAATAATTTTAATGTCTTTTTCATACATTGGCTAAACACCACTTAAGGTGGAATATTCACATTATATTTCAGCTTTAATTTTGCTGAGTTTCAGGCAACATTTTTATGAAGCAAGCTATTCTTATCATGATTGTGGTCATCACATATTTTGACTCGCAGTGAAAAGAAAAACTTAAGAATTTAGTTCAGGAAGAGGTAATCTTATACTAAATGTAAATCAGGTGTAATTATATAATAACTAGACCAATTTTTAAATACACAAACATACCAAGATTAATTTGCCCTAAATAATGTGATCCTTTGAAGTCGGCTGCAGGACATTAACTTAGGACTTATTCCAGTGATTGTGCTATTGCTCAAAACATTTTTCAACACATTTTTTTGGGAATTGCCCTCAGAGCAAGTTTATGAACCACCAAGAAACTAAAGCAGTCATGTTATTTTATTCCTTTTTTTAAAGCAACAACCAAAAAAAAGCCTTTTATTTTACTTAGTAGATTTGGACTCTAAGTGATTTTTTTTTTACTATTTCCAAAACTCAAATTCACCCTCAAAGATAAAGATTTGCTATCACTGAAGAGATTCAAATATGTGACAGTCTCTGAAGGCAGTGCTGAAAGAGGAGTTGCACAAAGGTTTCATGAAATTGCAGCATTTTTTAGAAAAACATGCATACCTTTTCATGATTATAACCTTGAAAAGGGAGGCAGCAATCATGCTTATTAAAATATTGGTGATGCTACTTCATAATCATATTTTGCTTATCTTAGGAAGTTTATTTTCTTCAGGGAATACTGGGTAGGTTTGCTTTTTTAGGAAATCATATGATGGGGACTTACCATGATTTTTGGAGTATTTTTGCCTCCACTGCCTATATTCATATTTCCTTAGCTTCTTTGCCCAACTTTCTTTTCATTTACCGAGGTTTTTTCTTTAAAATGACAACAAATAAGCAAATAAAAACAAATATTATGAAAATATAATTCTAAACTTGTAATTAAACTGATGGAAAATCAAATAAAATATACCCTAAATGAAGGAATTTGATTTTTATTGTCTTAGAAAAATAATTATTTTAACAAAAATCTACATTTTAATATTTATGAAGCTAGAATGATCTTTTTATATGCACATTATTTATATTGAAGAATAATGTACTCGCATGAAACAGTATTAACTATTGTCTGTTGTTCAAAATGCTAATTATTTTCATATAAATGGAGCAACAAATTTCTTCTTTCCTTCCTTTCCCTTTACTTTTCTTTTTTTCTTTCTCCTTTCTTTTCCCTTCCCTTTCTCTCCTCTTCATTTCCTTTCCCTTTTCATTCTTTTATTTTATTCCCCCCCTTCTTCTTCTTTTTGTCCTTTTTATTTAAACATATCAAGGCAGGTTGGGATTGAAGTAAAAGATTTCGGACGAAGTTGGAGAAGTGGTGTGGCATTTCATTCAGTTATTCATGCTATTCGGCCAGAACTAGTGGATTTGGAGAAAGTGAAAGGAAGACCTAACAGGGAGAACTTGGAAGAGGCTTTCACCATTGCTGAAACAGAATTAGGAATCCCAAGACTCCTAGATCCTGAAGGTATGCTGGGATTTGCTCTCCTACCACTGTAAATTGATGGGCATGTTACAGTCACTGTACAGATGTGCAGTGCTGTAGAGTGCACCAACAATTAAGGGAGAGAGAATAAGGGAAGACTTTCCATATGAAATAGCACCTGAAATGATCTTTGAAAGAAGCTAGACACCAGCAACATGTGCTATATTGATAGCAATATGTGCTATCAAGTGTGATAGACTTAGCTCTTCTTAGCAATACAATGATCCAAGACAATCCAGAAGACTCATGATAGAAAATGCTAACCACATCCAGAGAAAGAATTACGGAGTCTGAATGTAGATCAAAGCATACTATTTTCACTTTTGTTGTGTTTTTTTGTTTCTCATGATTTTTCCCTTTTGCTCTGAGTCTTCTTTCACAACATGACTAATGTGGAAATACATTTAACATGGTTATTCATGTATAACCTATTATCAGATTACTGGCTCTCTTGGGTAAGGGGGAAGGAAAATTTGGAACTCAAAAATCTCACATAAATAAATGTGAAGCTTTCTCTGCATGTAATTGGAAAAATAAAATACTATTAAGTAAAAAAGAAAAAAAAGGAAGAAAGAAAGAAGCTAGAGATTTCAAGAGATGGGGTTAATTAATTCCTGGCTTAGCAGAGAGCATGTGGAAAGGCAAAGGGATGAAAGCTGGAATGTCAAGTTGAGAAGATAGCCAAAACAGTGCATGTGAAAGGCAGAGTGCAGAAAAATGGGTAAGATGAAATAGTTTAGGAAAAGAAAATGGGAGCCATATAGCAAATTACATTTTAGAAAAGTTAAGTTTGATATAGTGACATGACTTCTGAAAGGAGATGACCAAAAGGCAGTTTGTAATGTAGGACTGAAAGTGAGAAACATTAGGGCTTTGTATTTAGATCTGGGAATCATCTTCCTAGCCATGTCAATTAATTAATTAAATTAATTAATTAATTAATTTTGAATTATTAACAATCACTCCCATAAGATTTCGAGTTTTAAATTTTTCTCCCCCTCCCTTCCCACCTCCCTCCCCAAGACATAATGCAATCTGATATAGGCTATATATATACATTCCTATTAAACATATTTTCACATTAGTGATGTTGTAAGAGTTAAAACCAATAGGAGGAACCGTTGGAAAGAGGAAACAAAACACAACAGAAGAAAAAAAATAGCAAATAGTATGCTTCAATCTTCATTCAAACTCCATAGTTCTTTCTATTTTATGAATGACATTTTCCATCATGAGGCCTTTGAAGATGTCTTAGATCCTCGTATTGCTGAGAAGGATTAAGTTTATTAGTATTAGTCATTGCACAACATGGCTGTTATTGTGTTCTCCTGGTTCTGCTCACTTCATTCAGCATCAGACCACAAAAGTCTTTCCAGGTTTTTCTGAAGTCAGCCTGTTCATCTTTTCTTATAGCGCAATAGTATGCCATTACATTTATATACCACAACTTGTTCAGCCATTCCCCAATTGATGGGCATACTCTCAATTTTCAATTCTTTGCCACCATAAAAAGAGCTGCTATAAATATTTTTGCACATGTGGTACCTTTTCTCATGAGTATGATCTCTCTGGGATAGAAGTGCTATTGCTGGGTCAAAGATTATGCACAGTTTTATAGCCCTTTGGGCATAGTTCCAAATTGTTCTACAAAATGGTTAGATCATCTCACAATGACATGATAATTTAGTCTACAGGAGATATTGGGATCACTTAAGGAGGGTGTATAGAGAAAGAAGAGAAGAGAATTTAGGATAGAGTTTTGGGGGCATGTCTATACTTCATTAGATGAGAAACAGCTGATGAACCAGCAAATGAGATGGAAGATTAATCATATAGAGAGCAAGGAATAAGGGGAGCAGTGTTATAGAAGCCAAGAGAGTAATGAATATCCAGGAAGAAGGCTAGTCAACAATGCCCAAATCATAAAAGAGGTTAAAGAGAATAAGGAATGAATAAAGTTAATTGAGTTTAGCCGATAAATGTTGGAAGCCAAGTTGCAAGGGTTTGAAGTGTAGGAATAGAGGAATGATTGCATCAGAGTATAATTTGTGAAAGGCAAAAAGATGGTACTTGAAGGGATGGTAGAGTCAAGTGAAGGGTTTTTTTTTTAAGGGTGGTGGATACTGGATGTTTGTATGCAGCATGGAAGGAGCCAATAATGTTGTTATTGTTTAGGCATGTCTTACTCTTCATGACCCTGTTCACTATAGCATGCCAGTACTGTCCATGGGGTTTTCATGGATAAAATACTGGAGTGCTTTGCCATTTCCTTCACCTGTGGATTAAGGCAGAGGTTAATGCATTGTCCAGGGTCATACAGCTAGTAAGTGTCTGAGACTGGATTAGAACTCAGGTCTTCCTGACACTAGTCCCAGTACTCTGTCCACTGAGCCACCTAACTGCCAATAATGAGAAAATACTAAAGACAGAAGCAGGAGAATAGTCAAGGATGTAAGATCCTGAGAAGGTAAAAGGTGATGGGATCACAGATGGAATTAAAAGTTTAGGTCTTGAAAAAAGGACCAAATCTTTGTCAGAGCCTAATTGAAAGCAGGAAAGAGTGAGGGATAGTGTAGAGATGTTTTGAGTTATGAAATATGGGAGAAGATGGAGCTCAAGTGAGATGGCCATAATTTCCTCATTAAAGTAGGAGATGAGATCCTCTGCTGTCAAGGAAGTGAGAAGATGTTATATAGGACCTTGCTGAAAGAAAAAAAGTATATAATAACAATTGCTAGAAGTGTGATATTCAATCAGGGAAGAATAAAAAGAATTTTGTGCAACTGCAGGAGTCTTTGAAATAAATTGTAGTGGACTCTGACAGTATGTTTTAATGGTTCATTAATAAGAGCAGAGGAGGCACATGGTGAGGTTAAGCCAAGGTTGGAGTTTTGCTAAACATAAGTGGAAATAGAATGAGGGCACATGGGATTCAAGGATACAAGATTGTATATAATTTAACTCTTCAAATACAAGGTCAGGACTGAGAAGGGAAGAAAATGAAATGAAGAGCAGGAGTGATAGACTGGAAGTGTGGAGGGTTTGGAGGTCTCAGTGACAACCACTGAATTGTTTAAAGAGAAATGATACAGTGAGAAAGAGACCTTTCATTATGTCACACTCAGGATATAAAAAAGGAATTTGCAGATATTAGTAATAGAGTGCATTTTTATCAACATCAATGAGCCATGGCTGTTTTGTAACAAATATAATAAAAGCAACGTGTGTTACATGAAAAGAGATTTTTTAAAAAGATTTCAAAATTCTTAGAGACTAGTCTACTCTTTTCTAATCTCTCTGTCCACTCTTTCCATAACCCAGATAACTGCCTTTTAGAAATAATTTTGTCACTGGGTGCTTATAAATTGAATCAAAGGGTCCTTGGGATGATTTTTCCAAGTAAAGCACAGTTTTATTTTAAAATGGCACTTTACTCAAGAGATTTGTGAATTATTGATCTGTCACTAGTCAGAAAAGGAGAGTGGGAAATTAGGTCCTAAATGTAGAACTGCAGAGATAACCTTGGGGACTTCCCAGGATAGGCAGCTGTAGCTACCTCCTTCAAAGTCTGATCCCCAGTGACTTCCCTCTGACTTTAGGGCAAAGGGTGGAGTATTTGCCACTTGAGAAGTTTCCATTATACTATTAGACAACCAGGGAGTTTTTTCCAGGTTTCAATAAGTTGACTTGGTTCAAGGAGCTGCCATAACCAGGTCTTCCTCTCCCAGCTCCAGAGGGTATAGTAGAGCTCAGATCTCATTGTGGTTAACTTCCTGAAAATGGAGTTAGGTGAAATCATGAATGGGGACCACTGTAGGAATTTCAGGTTTTTGTCTGAAAATAGAAGATTAAGACTACACACACCTGTTGCAACATTTTTTCCTTCAGTCCTTTGGCTAAAATTGTTTTAAGTGCAGCATTTTTTAATCTAGATCTGAGGCTTGCAAATGATTTATACATTAATAATTAGGCAAAAGTATAAGCATAGAGAATATCAGATTCCTAATACTCATAATTCTGAGAAGTATTTAAATGGGACATTCATCACATGCCCAAATGTTCCTTTTTGCATTTTACCCCTTAAATATTCAGCTATTTTCAAGTCATGGCCTTTCCAAATTGTCTTAAATACACTAAATTGGTTCAAAAAAACAAGCTATATGAGCAATAGTATGTTTTTCTGCATTCAAACCTCTAGTTTTTATTATATTATGTGTATAGGTAAATTATTTGAGTAAAGTAAGTTTGTTTTTGCAACATAACACTTTTTATTATATTTTGTGTGAAATCAATTAAAGCCATCATTCCCTTGAAAGTGTTACTACTGATTAAGTATTTATATTTGTTTTGTGTTTTTCCAGATGTGGATGTGGACAAACCAGATGAGAAGTCTATTATGACTTATGTAGCCCAATTTCTGAAATATTATCCTGATGTTCATAACACAGGCACTGATGAACAAGAAAATGATGTAGGTATTTTGTTAGAAAATGTATAAAATATATATGTATGTGTATCCTATACATATATGTATACATATATATTTTATACCCATATATTATATTTGTATCTTAAATGTATATTTATATACGTATATGTATATATGGTTAGATATGTGTTATTTATTCATATGTATTTTATATATATATATGTATATATGTATGTGTTGTTGTTCAGTCATTTTTCAGTCATGTCCATCTCTTTGTGACCCCACCTTTTGGGGTTTTCTTGGCAAAAATACTGGAGTGTTTAGCCATTTTCTTCTCCAGCTTATTTTACAGATGAGGAAACTGAGGCAAACAGGGTTAAGTGATTGCCCAGGGTCACACAGCTAGTAAGTATCTGAGGCCAGCTTTGAACTCACATCTTTCTGGCTGCTGGCTAAATGTTCCTGGTCTAGTGCACCAGCTAGCTCTCCCCATATGTGTGTGTATTTTAAGCAGAACTATGTAATATTTGCTTTTATTTTAAAAACATTCTAATAAAATAGCATTTGAATGTAATTAAATCATAACTGAATAAAGAACAGAGGGAAACAAAGAAAGTAGGGTGAAACAATTTGGCTTCAAAGAAAAAGGCTTTTTGGTCGTGAATGAGGAAGAAAAGAGAGAACCCCATATAGGAAATCATATTTCTAGGAAAAAAATAACAGTATTGGAATTTTGATGATTTGGTAATGTAAATGATGTAATATATGTTGCTGTTTGCCCACCAAGATCTTGATTCCAACCCTAAAAATAATTGCATATGAAATTAATGCTCTTTAAATTTATGGAAGAAGCGATCTATTTTTAGATTTTGAATATTAACGATGACACAACTCATAGGAAACAACTGTGATCAATCCTAGTGCCAATCACTCAGGCTATCTCTTTGTTTTCTTACCTGTACCCCTGGCTCAGTTACTTTTCAGATTATATTTTTCCTAAAACAACTTCACTATTCCACTTATTGGTGATAGGGCTGGAAACAAGCTTATTTACTTATGGTAAGCTTATTTACATCTAATACTCATTTTATTACCCTTTTGTCACCGGCACCTTGGAGATTGTGCTGTTTGTAGTGATCAGATGGATTCTTATACAGGGAACAGCTTGGAATAAAAAAAAAAAAAGTACTGTGATGCCTCCCCAAAGCTTTTGTTCCTGCCCTCTTGTTAATATTGAATTCTGGGCCCAGCTCATTGTCTGTATATAGTACCTGTCCCAAATAAAGATACTGATGTACTAACCCAATAACAATAAGCATTTTTCATGCATGTATTTTTCCTGTATGGATTACTGCTTTTACCTTTTTTGAGTAATTATGGATCTCACTGAGTTAGCCTGAAAGGTCTTAGGGTTTGATATAATTGGTAGAATATCATCTACAGGCAAGGAACATTTAGAGGACCATACCAATTGTAGGAAATACTGTTTCCATTTGTATCTTTCAGGTTGGTAGACTATCTTATTTTTTAAAGTTTGTATTAATGTTTTTCCTTAATATTATTTTTCTCCAATTATATGTAAAGGTAGTTTTAAACATTCATTTTTGTGAAATTAGGAATTCCAGATTTTTCTCCCCCACCACGTTCCCTCCCCTCTCACCAAGATGGCAAGCAACCTGATATGTTATATATGTTGTGTTAGTATTTTTAGTCCTTTGAATTCCCAACTTATATTCTTCAAAAAATAATATAATTATCTAAGTGGAATACTGTAACTTTCCTTATAACTCCAACCTTTTAAAATTTCAATTAGTATTTACATTTTATACTATGGTCACGTCTAATGCTGGAGTGCTCAGAAAAGACTGCAAGCAAACAGTGAATCAGTTCCATATTAAATAGGCCAAATAACATAGGGAGATATATTAAAAGGATTTGTTAGATCTGTGAAGTGATCTGCTTCTTGTTCATCATTGGCCAAGGCCAAACTAAAAATACTCATCTCTATTTGAAACATATAATTTAAAGATGTATGTCAGTCACTTAATAAATTCATTGTATGTCAATCACTTTTTAAGTTTGCAGAAGAGGATAACAAGAGTGATCCTAGGTTTATGAGACATGTTTTCAGACCAGAGCCTGAAGGAAGTGGACTGATTCAAGCAAGGAAGGAAAAGCTCAAGGAAGCATGATAGATGTTTCCCAATATACAGTATTGCAGTGATTTAACAGCTATATAACATTGGACAGATAAATACAATACATGATTTCAGTGGAGAAAAAAATGATTCTAATGAAGCATTAGGGAAAAAAGCATCTAAATTTTCTAATGTGGAAGTTAAGATGTTAATCAATTAACCAGTATTTATTAAGTGACTGCTACATGCTAGGTGCTTGAGATATGAAGGCAAACATAAACTAATACTTGTTCTCAAGGAATTTGTGTTCTATCAGCAGAGATAATATGTACATATCTAAGTATGTACAATGTAAGTAAATAAAAATACCTACAAAATAGGCCTTAGATATTTTTTTTCTTTTACCTCTGTAAAAGAGGTACAAAACCCCTCAGGGAATCAGAAAGATTTCATGTGGGAGGTCATGTTTGAACTGAATTTTTAGAAAGCTAGGATTCTAAGAGAGAATTAGGAGTAAGGAATGTGTTCCTAGAAAGTTAAGTTGGAACCAAGGTTGTGAGGGGCTTTGAATGTGCACGAAGTTTTCTGAACAAGGCAGTTATATGGTCAGATCTGCTTTAGAAAAATCTCTTTCAGAGGTGTGTGGAGGATATATTTATATTGCAGGGGAGAGAGATTCAAGGTCAGGGCACTTCCTAACCCAGTTAGGAGGCTGATGCAAAGAGGCAATGAGGTCCTGAACTAGCATAGTGGTTATAGGGGTAGAGGGAAAGGACAGATATGAGATGTTTGGAGAGGAAGGATTGATGATATTTGGCAACTGATTTCATATGTAAGGTGAAGGAGAATAAGAAATCAAGGATGATTCCAAGGTTGTGAATGTAGGTAACTAAATGGTGACAAGATGTCCTTTCCAGAAGTAAGGAAGTTTTTAAGAGGTCTAGATTTGGGAGGAAAGACAGTAAGTTAAGTTTTGGAAATTATGCATTTGAATGATTACAGGACATCTAGGTCAAAAGGTCTGGCAGGCAGTCATTGATGCAAGAATGGAGTTCAGAAAAGAAACTTAGGGCTAGGTGTACAGATCTGAGTCGTCTACATAGATAGCCATAATAATCATAGCCAGTATTTTTATCACATTTTAGGGTTTGAAGGAAAGGTGCTTTACAAATATTACCTCATTTCATCTTCACAATAACTCTGAGAGGGAGGTATTATTATGTCCATTTTACAGATGAGGAAACTCAGGCTAAAAGAATAAACGTGTTGCTCATGGTAATAGAACTACTTAAATGTCTAAAACTGGATTTGAATTCAGGTGGTTTTCCTGACTTGAAGGTCAGCACTGTTTCCACTTTGCCACCTAGCTGATAAGGTCATCTCCAAAGAGAAGAAAGGGTGACCTAGAGCAAAGCTTTGGTGTATACCCACATTTAGGAGCCAAGATATTAATTTTGCTCCATAAATTCAGATGTTCTCAAGTTCTGTCTCTGCACCTGGATCTATTTGCTATTCTTAGGAATCTTTACTTATTCCTCACAAAAGACATGTGGCATATATATTCATATCACTGAAAATCAGGATATACAGAATGCATGTTGTTCATGTCTGACAGGCATTTCTAAAACTGTTTAAGTGAAGCCACATGTCATGTTCAGTTCATGTAACTCTGTTGCTGCAGGGAACTAATTCTATTTCTTGCCAGCCACCTTTCGGGAAGACTTTTCCCACTGGACCTAAGGCATAAATAAATAGGGAAAGCAGATTTCACTCAGTAGAGCTGCTGAGGGTTTTAGTGGGCACAGCTGCTGACAGGAATTGATATTTTTACATCAGCCCTCTTTATAGTGCTTGGTGTTTGGCTCTTTTGTTATAACAGGGAAATGCTTATTGTTGGATTCTAGGTTTGTGGTTTACATACTCACTAAATCTGGACACACAGAACACTGGCCTGTCTATCCTATAGCCTTAAAGGAACTTGGTGTGTGTAAACCTCATCCCCACATCATACAGAAAATCAGAGTCTTTTATGTAGCAATTCTGCTCCTAGAAGGCCTTCTTTTATTGAATTGATTTTCTTTCTTATCCCTTTTCTGAATATCTATGGTTTTATTATCTCTAACATTAATAGTTTTTCTAGGTCAATAAATTAATTTCTCAATACATGGAAGGGAATCAGAGGATGCTTCAGTTAGTGCATGTGAGCAGAAATGTAATGTATAGTACCTTAGAGGCTTTTTTAATGGCTATAGTCTCCCACATCAGACCCCACAACAAGAACCCACTTTACCCCCCAATGATTGTTTATTTACCAAGAGTAAAGTCACTGAGCCTTTTATTTGTGACTTAAAAAAAGGAAAATGCATTTGATTTCTTCTGGGATATTTCAGAAATTGGTGCTGACAGATATTTATTGTGATTTTTAACTCAATTTAGTTTTTTTTACTTAATTTCTTCTGTACATGGAATCAAAAATAACATGGTATTAAAGAGAAATTAAAAATTAAAGCCTAGCATTTCAATTTAAAAAAAAAGAAGGTACAATGACCACCAGAAAAAAGCACATTTGAGGGAATATAGTTAGAAGTAGTTGGAAGCTACTGGTATAGAGAATACTTAAAAACAGAGACAGGTCCTCTACAGACAGAGTATCCAGATCACACCACATCTTCAAAGCTGCTGTCATTAGAGAAAAGGTCTATAGTTATCTGAGCTTTTATGGAGGACATTTCTAAATAACTTCCTTTTACTTGTTCCATATCTTTTTAACCCTTATCTCAAATGTGATTTATTGTGTGATTTCCTCATAAGCACAGTTCTGATCACAGATGTAAATTTGAGGTCTCTAAAAATGCTCCTTGTGTTAATTCCAAGGATGTAACACTTAGATAGTTTAATAATGAGATATGATTCATTTGTTGTTCATAAATGATTAATGATTTAGGTGTGTAGTAAAAGCTTTTAAGAACAACAGTCTTAGAATGATTTAATTATAGAACTATGTAAATAATATTTTATATATCTAGCGATATATATGTGCATATATACATAGATGTATAAATTGACTCATTTTTCTTAATTTGGCATATAAAGGATATTATGTTGGTCTATTATGCCTTATCACAAAACACTAGCTAGGGTTAGAGGTTTTCTGATACATAAATAAATGTTCTAAATATAGCATATATATATATATATATATATATATATATATAAAACATGATAGATAATAAATATATATTCTGCTATAGATAGATAGAGATAGAGATTTTAAGTGTAAATTGAGAGTTAGGCAGCTAGGTGGCATGATGGATAAAATGTCAGTCCTGGAGTAAAGAAGACCCATTTTACTGAGTTCAAATCTGGCCTTAGACATTTACTGGCTGTGTGACCCTGGGCAAGTCACTTAATCCTGTTTGCCTCAGTTTCTCATCTGTAAAATGAGCTAGAGAAGGAAATGGCAAACCATTCAATTATCTCTGCCACGAAAACCCCAAATGGGGCCCCAGAGAGGCAGACATGACTGAAAAAACAACAAAATTGAGAGAATGTATAGGAGAAAAATAATGTTATGGATGTACTTTAAATCTGGATTTCTTAACTATTTTTTTTTTTGTCATGGACCTCTTTGGAAGTCTGGTTAAGCCTACTGACCCTTTCTCAAAATACATTTTGAAATTTATAATTGAAAAAAGTTAAATTTCAGTCAGAGGTTAGATAAAATCAAGATTATATATAATATGTGCATATTTGTTTATTTGACATTTAGCCCAGACTCCCAGGCTAAGAACCCTTGTCAAAGCAACACCATTAAGATTTTCTAGCATTGTGCTGTTTTGAACTACAAAGAACTAAATATGACTTAATTGGGCAAGACTTTTAATAGCAGAGAATACTGTTGAGCATTGCAATTAAAATTCAAAAAATATGTTATTTTGAATAAATATTTTTCTTCCTGATGATTTACTAAAAGAATCATAAGTACATCCAACATAAAACATGGTTTGGGATTCAAAACTAAGAATTTTAGTTACCTGCAGAGCAGCAGGACCTCTATCACTGTGCTCTGAGTACAATCCTATTTACAGTCTTCAATTTACCTTCTAAAACATTGCTTCAGAAGTGTATCAATAGTAACACCCATGAGTATGAGATTAGTTAACACCATGCTTTGTCTTTCCTTACCTTATATGATAAACTCATAATCTTGGGAGATTCCCCCTTATTTTTTCTTATGTACAGATAACTTTTAAGGAACACTTTAGTTAGATAAGAAAGGGCTCATTTGGAGCAAAATCCTTATATTCATATATTTTAGTATTTTTCAGTACTTTGGTGGATAAGTGATCTCATCAGTGCTGGTCCTCTCTCTAATGGTGTAGCTCTTACCTCACCAGCTTCTTCTGGTCCTGTGTGATTCTTGTGCGTGTTCTCTCATAAATTATCCCCAGGGTGTCCATCTACCCAATGTGCTAGGGACTTTCCTTCCTTTAGGTCTTGCTACACTGTTTGAATATTAATGGAACACCCAGACCATCTATCGCTTCCTTCTTGCTCACTTTACATAAATTACTACTCCCTTTTCCAGCAAGACTGATATCTTTTCTACCAGTTCCACTGTATAATTTTTCATTAGTTATTCTCATGTGTCTTTCCATTGCCCTTAAATGATTAACTTTAAATCCTTGGAGACTGTTATTTCATGTTTTGATTTCATATAGCTGTTAGGTGGTGCAGAGGATAGCATGCTAAGCCTGAAGTCAGAAATATTCATCTTCATGAGTTCAAATCTGGCCTCAGATACTTACTAGCGGGGTGACCCTGGGATAGTCACTTAACCCTGTTTGCCTCATTTTTCTCATCTGTAAAGTGAGCTAGAGAAGGAAATGGCAAACCATTTAAGTATCTTTGTCAAGAAAACTCCAAATGGGTTCATGAAGAGTCAGATATATCTGAAAAAAAATAACTAAATAACAACATTCCTATGGTAATACCATAAGAATATTGATATTAAAAGATGGGCCATCATTTCAGGTAGAAGTTTAGAGCCTTCAAAAGTATGGTGCTATTTCCAAAATAAAAGAATAGTTGGTTCTCCTCTCCTTTCTATTCAATTCCAGGCCAGGTTCATCATGACTCTTACTGTGGCTATCCATGATGTATTTACTGATCAGCCAGCTCTATGGACTGTCCAACCAACTACACATTATAATCTAAACAATAGGCATTCTTCTTTCAATTATTTGTACTGTGTATTTTGTCTTTTATTAAGAAATTTATAAAATTGGGGGGATCTCAGGGCAATCAGGAGCAGCACAAATTGAGTATCTGAAATATTTCTCCATATAGAGAGAATGCTTTCTCCATTTGACCTGTGCCTAAGATATACTTTACGACAGAGGTAAATACCCAAGGGAGTATTTTTGCCTTGATTGAGAATAAGAAGGCTGTCGAACAAATTTACCTATATTTTGGGGGGAATTAAATTTTTTATTTTACTTTAGTATTTACAAATAGACATTTTCTCCCACTTCCTCACCCCAACTAGAAAAAAGAAGGAAAACAAACAAAACTCTTGTAAAAATATGCATCTTCAAGCAAAGCAAGTCCCTGTGTTGTCCATGTCCAAATATATATGTCAATTCAGGTACAGTGGATAGAGCACTGTGCCAGGAAGAGTTGAATTCGCATATTTTACTAGCAATATGACCCTTGGCAAGTCACTTACCCTCTGTTTGCCTTAGTTTTCTCAACTGTAAAATAGGGATAGCTGTACCTAGCTCAAAGGGTTGTTATGAGGCTCAGATGAGATATTTGTACAGTATTTAGCACAGTGGCATGTAGTAGGTACTATATATGTGTTTATTTCGTTCCCTCTTTCTCTGCATCTTGAATCCATCATCTCTCTATCATGAAATGGGCAGTATGCTTCAGTATTGGCTCCCTGGAAGCATGATTGCTCCTTTCATTGATCAAAGTTCTTATCTTTCAAAATGTGTTTGTATTTATAATGTTTTTCTTTTTGTATAAATTATTCTCCTTGCTCTGCTCATTAGACTCTTCAACACTCAATACATCTTCCTAGGTTTCTCTAAAAGCATCATGCTAATGTACCTTTGGTGGATCTCTGAATTGGTATAGTCAATCTGGAAAGTAATTTGGAACTATTCCTGAAAAAACTAAAATGTGCGTGCCTTTTGACTAAGTGATACCACTACTAGGCCTGCAATATAAATGTCAGGTATTATTGTGCTTGATAATAAGCTAGATATAGGTGAAAAGAAATTGAGACCAAATTCTGTTGGTAGCAATGATATACGATTTTTGAAAGAATGAACGTAGCCATGTTGTTTAAAAAAGATAAGCTAAAATGCCTTTTTTCTGTGAAGTTGGAACTATGTAACAATAAATGAATATTTTCCTCTTTCCAGAGGGAAGACAAACTAGTGCCAAGAGAAACAAAAGTTTGGATAGAACAGTTTGAAAGAGATATGACAAGGGCACAAATGACTGAAGCGAGTTTACAGGACAAATACCAGGTAACAAATAGAAAAGTAACTTTTGAATTCACAAAATGCCTTTTTGTAACTAAAGTTCATATGTAACCTTGAATCTGTGTTCAGTTTTCTAAATAATGGCAAGTAAACAATTAAGGAAAGCTTCTGTGTGAGTTTAGGCTTTGTACTATTTCTTGCTCTGCAGAGTTAAGCATTTACCAAGTCCCCACTAAACAGAATTGTGGGTTTAATTCTTATTCTTAAAGAGTCTTTAATTCTTTAGGGTTAATAAGGGAGATATGTGGCCATACACAGGCATACAACCACACATGCATACACCTCAAACATGAAAATGACTTCAAAAATCATTATATAAATGAATTCAAATTCATATATACAACACAAGCTAAGTTGTACCAAATACTTTCTACATCCTTCTAATTTTCCAATGCCTAGAACTCTTTGAAAGAAAAGTGAAATGAGCCCCCTAAGGATTTATTTTTATATAGCTTTTATGGTATTTTGAAAGTTAATGTTAGCTTGGAGGGAATGGAAGATAAAATGTGCAATGAACTTTTATTCACTATCACCACCCAGTGTTCATCATGTGAATTTACGGCCTGCATGATCCATATTAAATTGCTTGAAATTGTAGTTTTGCAGAACACAGAATTTACCTTGTGTTTCCTGCTTAGCTTAGTATAAAGGTCACTAATTTCTCTGCATCTCTTGTTAATATTGACAGATTACAGCCTATTTTTAACCCATTCACTTTCATAGTAATAATACTGTGACTCTTATTTGAAGACACTCTTAGCTGGCTGTGTAATATAATAAATTCATTACAATATGTACAGTGTTTTTCAGCTTAGTGTTTTATTCATAGGTGAAGCTACTTCTAATAAATTTATTTTGTTTCATGGTTTGATTGACATTTTACATTCAAGAAATATATTACTATCTCATTCATAGTTTTATATAAGAGATAGTATGTTAAAGTCAAATTCTGGCAAGTTATGTAACATCCAAGCTACAAATTTAGTTATGATTTATCTGATTTTCCAAATTTTCAGTTTTTACAATTTGAATATTAGCTATTTATTTTTAAATTCAGTCCAGTCATCTCGCTGATCAATTTGAATAGTTTGAAAAATTTCCAGCTTGCAAATTGCTATTTTGAATAAAGATAAGTCATACTATTTATTATACTGGTTTCATTTTCGTTATCACGTAGTTATAAAATACTTTAAACTGAGCTTTTCTTACAACACTCATGTGAGTGTAGATAAATCAATACCATTTGGCAGATGAGGAAAATGAGGTTTAGAAAGTTTAAATGATTTCCCTAATACCTCGTACCAATAAGTATTAGCACAGTACCTTGCACATAACAGACTCAATATAGATTTATTGACTGTTAGTGTTATTGTAGTTAGGTGATGTCAGACTGACTTACGGAATGTCAGATACAGAACTCAAACACAGATCTTTTGACTCCTTGTCCGCTGATTTTTTAATACAACAGTTTTACAAGTAAGTGACATGGGGTCGATAAAGCGCCAAAGTCCTAAGTTCAAATCCTGGCTCTACCACTGATTGACCGTGTGACCTTGGGCTTGATTTTTCTGACCCTCAGATCCTCATTTGTAATACAAGGATAATAACAGCTTCTCTGTCTTCCACATGAGGGTAAATGTGGATGTTCACTGAGATGATATATATACATAAGTAAATTCATAGCTTACATGCTCTATAGCTTTAAAGAATTTGGAACTAAAAATCTTATGAAAGTGAATGCTGGAAACTGTCTTTGCATGTAATTGGAAAAAAATTAAATACTGTTAAGTGGGAAGGGGAAGCATTTGACTTCAATATACTATCTCTTATATAAAGATCACCTCTGTGAAATTTAGAAAATATAAAATATTTCATTTCTTGAATGCCAATTTTCAACCAAATAATGAAATAAAATAATTTTATTAATAATCTCAAGTATGTCTAATACCAAGTTGATAAATTCTGTCCCCACGTTAATGAATGCACTATATTGAACGTTATGCTAGCAGTGTCCTCTGAAAGGATTCGTATCATCATTCTTTCTATGACACTTAATGGACTAGAATGGGCTCTGTTCAGTCAATACTACCCTGAGAAGGCAATCTGAGGACAAGAAATGGCTATATCAATACTAATTTGATTTTCTGTGCAAAATTCATGGAAAACCAAAAAAAAATGCTGAAAGAGTAATCCATAGATCATTAAGAGTATCAAAATATTATTAAGGAAGGACAGATTCTCATATCAATGCAAATGAGTAAAATGGTCCAGTTTTCCTCATTTGACTTATTGCCCTGTTGTTCCTGCTTTTTCTCCTTTAGTCATTTAAGCACTTCAGAGTTCAGTATGAAATGAAGAGGAAACAAATTGAACTTTTAATTCAACCACAACGCAGAGATGGCAAATTGTCACTTGATCAAGCTCTGGTGAAGCAGGCATGGGACAGAGTGTCCTCTAGGGTAAGTTTCCCCAGATTACAGTAGCAGTGTGTACATTTATTTGTAGTATATTTTTAATGTCACTTCAGTGGTTTTCATCAGGTTTTGAAGTTTCCTTTAAGAGATGGAGAGAGTACTTTCCTTTTTTTGGTGTTGGGTTTTTCAATTTGAAGGAAGCTTAACAGCTCAGGGTTATGCATATTATATCTTCTTGTTGATTTTTTCTGCCTGTCATTTGGAATGTTTATTCTAATCCTTTAGTTGTTTTGCCTTATATTCCTTGCTTACCCTCTTCTCTTTTTTCTTTGCCCTCTGATTATATAATTCAATGAAGAGAGGATATCATTGATGGAAAAAATTTATCTTCACTTAAGGGAATATCCAAGAAGACTTCTAGCAATAAGGCCTCCACAATCTTTCCCTATAGTCTATTATAACGTTGCTACTGTTGAAATGACTCAGACAGCAAATAAATTATCACTATAGCTTAATATGATCTCTTCTGGTTTAATTTGAGTAACTTCCTCTTGGAATTCTAGACTTTGAAGGCACTTTAGAATGTCCAATCTCTCCTTGAAATAGTATTCCCTTTTGCATCACCACCATCAAGTATGCACATGATCTCAGTTTGAAGACTTTCAGAAGATGGGGAGCTCATTATTTTATGAAGCATTCCATTTTCAGATAGCTCTAATTCTTAAGAATTAAATTGAATTAAATCTTAGGCAGTTAGGTGACATAGTGGACTGGACTTGGGATCAGGATGACTCATCCTCATGAGTTCAAATCTGGCTCCAGATACTTACTAGCTTTGTGACCCTGGGCAAGTCACTTAACTCTATTTGCCTCAGTTTCCTCATGTATAAAATGAGTTGGAGAAGGAAATAGCAAACCACTCCAGTATCTTTGCCAAGAAAACCCCAAATGGAGTCACAAAGATTCAGGCACGACTGAAAATGATGGAACAACTAATTCTTAGGAAGCTTTTTGTTTTCACTTTAATGGATCAATTTTACACAGAGCCAACTTCTATATCCTTCATATGAAATCTTTATCTGAAATTCTTCATATGAAGATATATTCTTTATATGAAATCTCTTCATGGGTTTGAAGACAGAAATTAAGATAAACCTCAAGCTTTTTCTTCTAATAGCTTTTTATCAGTGGCTTTAAATTTTCCTTTTTTCTTTCCTTTAGTATTTGTCATTCTTCTCTGGAGTTATTCTTCTTTAAGAGTCTAGAGAACAAGTTAACTTCCATAGTCAGTCTTCTAGCTTTTAAAGCTCTTGTTTGATCCTCTCCCATGGCTTCATTTATCACATCTCTGTAGATGAGTAGTAATTTATGAATCAGGGCTGGTCTTTCTACTGACATCCATTTGCATATTTCCAACTGCCTTCTGAATGTCTTCACCTGAGTATTCCTCTTGGACTTTGACTCAACATGTGCTAAACTCAATTCATTATTTCTCTCCCAACCCTCAACCCTACCTTTGCTTCTAGCTTCCTTATTTCTACTTCTTATTTCTACTGACTTCTCAGTCACTCAGGCTCGAAGTCTTGCAGTCTACCTGGACTATTTCTCCATTTCTACTTCCCAATACCCAGTCAGTTTTTGGTTCTTGTTGAATCTGTCTTCACAGTAGCTTTCACATCTGCATTTTCTCTACTCACAGCTGCAGGATCCTCGTTCAAACCTTTATGTCATCCCACTTGAATGAGTTTAAAAGCTTCCTAACTGCAGCTCCAGGCTCTATATTCTCCATTTCATTCTCACACAGCTACCAAAGAGATCTTCCTAGTGCACATGGCTGAGCATTTCACTTCTCTACTCATAAACCTTTTGGGACTCCCTGCCACTATTAGGATCAGATATTCCCTAGAGTCTTGCCCCATCCTGCCTGGCCAGATTTTATTTCATACTCTTTCCTTTCATATATTCTACATCCCAATGAAATGAACAACTCTCTTTCATGATCTTGTCCTACACTGCCCTACCTTCAAGAAGTAGCACAGCTCCTTATGCCTGAGGTGCACTCCTGCCATATCTCCAACCATTCAAACCCCATTTTTCTTTCAAGGTCCACTTTAGATACTATCTCCTGCATGAAGCTTTCCCTCATAACTTGCCATAACTGAAAACACTCTATCCCTCACCAAATTTTCATATAGCTCCCTTTTTGGATCTCTTTCTTGGCTTTATCATATTCTACCTTATCAATGTGGGGAGTAGTTATATGATGCAGTCAAGTAAAAAAAAACATTTATTAACTTCCTCCTAGTGCCAGGAACTGGGATCAACAATGGGTATACAAACAGTATCTCCTTTTGAGGATATCGTAGTCTAATAAGGTGACTCTTAGGTTCACTTAGGGACAATCAGACCAACCCCACCACTATCCACTATTGATTTGTCCCCTTATCAATGATCTCTTTTTAGGTTCAAAGATAGTCTAGTGGATATACTATGAAATGATTTTAGAAAGTACCATAATTGCAGAGATTCTCTAAATGACTTCCCCTACTCAGAGAAAAACCAGGAAAATCTCTTTTCCCATTAGCTATCTTCCCATGTTTTAATCTTGAAACTCAAACTTATAGATTTTGATAAAATCACTATTAACTGGCATGGAATTTATTAGAGGTATCAAGTAACAGTCATATAAACATTCAGACAAGGCTGTTATTCCTGGTTTCTTTTCTGACACTTGGGACATCACCATCATAGCTCAACTACCTTCTTACTCTGGAAGTTCCCTCCATCTCTATGACCTTCTCACCCTAAAAGATCTTTCTGCCCTGGTGGGGGGGTCTTTTCTCCTATAAATGAGTTGCTCCCAGAATTTCTATTTTAGGAATGGGCCAAGCTAGCGATCTTTTGTTCCTCTCCTGGTTCTGCTTCTGATTCAGACTTTACAGTTATAGCCTTGAATGAGTACCCCACCCCAGCCCCACCCTTACCTTTCAGCTCTCTTTTATATGTTGTCTTCCCTCATTAGAATATAAACAACTTGGGAACAGAAAACTGCTTCTCTTTTTATTGTACTTGTATTCTTAGCACTTAGCACAGTGCCTGGCACATAAGTGCTTAATAAGTGCTTGTTGACTTGACTTGACTTGACTCACAGCCAGAGTCATCTCTTTTTCCCTTCCATCACACTGTTTCCTACTGGGCTGAGATGAGTTTAGTGAAGAAACAAATTGAAATTTAAATTATGGAGATAAATTCCCAAAGCATAGGGCTCCAGAAAAATGGGAAAGAAAAAAAAATAAAGTTGTAGATTGGATTTCACTCTTACCAATTGCCACAACTGGTGATTCAGCCTGATTTAAATTCCTGAAAACTCCTGCTATGTATTTTCTTTGTCTCCTCTCCTCTGCACCCCCATCCATTTACTCATCTGCTCTCATCTCACACTTCCTCTCTACTTCCCCATCTGGTGCCCCCAACAAATTGGGCTCTCTTGAATTCCTGCCAGATCTCTAGCTTACGAATTCTCTATTATCCCACAAAGATCCTCTAAAGTCTCTGTGATCCCAGAGAAATCCTTGTTAGGCTATACTACCTCATTTTATTATTATTTGTGTGCCTGCATACTTGATTAAAAGCCTCTGATTGTCAGGAACTACATCATTTTTTTATCTTCTTATCCCCAGGCCCAGCACATGATCTTGCACATTGCTTAATAAGTATTTGCTGTATTAAAACAAATTTAACTGAAAGCTCTCATCTCTATCCTGTTAAACTTCTGATGCTATGAGATGGGCTTTTCTGGGGAGTGTGGGAGAGTGAAAAGCATTCATTTATGTAGGAGGAAGATCGTAAGAGACTTTTTTTTTAACATAAAATGATAAGAGTAGGACAGAGTCTAAAAGTTCTTCTCTATCTTTGGAACTGCCAAAATGTTCTGGGGCAGTTATAATGAGGAGTGGGCAAATGGACTTGATTACAGAAGTCCAAAAATTGGTCCAAACTTCAGAGTAGTGTACTGGGATGCACTGCAATCTGGTTTACATATGCTTCATTCAGATATTATGAGATAATATTTATAAAGTAATTTAGCACAGTGCCTGCATATAGTAAGTACATAATAAATGCTTATCCTCTTCCTTCCTTCCCCCATTAATCATACACAGAGTCCTTAAGTTTGCCAGAAGGTCTAGCCCATTGCATGTCAGTGAAAATGAAGTCTTTGTACCCTCCAGTGATTTTGTACTTGTGGCAAAGGAGAGGAGATCACTAGTTACATAGTAAGAGCAAGGGAAAGCAAGTGGACAACTTGTGTTCTCCCTTTGCAACCATCTGTTATCTGGAGAAAATCAGGAAGGACCCAGGACATTGGGTGGCCCCCCTGTGGTAAACATGTAGGAAGGAATAGACATCCAGTATGAACAGGCATAGTTTGGTTATAATCTTCATCATTAGAGGGGACATCCCACATTGATGAGATCCCAGATCCACTTGAATTCTTCTGAACTGAAAATTCTGAGGTGCTGCTGTCACTTTGTCAACTTCCCTTGAAAGGAATTTTGTTTATTCCTGATTTTTTTTTCATTTCAGCTCTTTGATTGGCACATACAGCTTGATAAGTCTCTTCCTGCACCACTAGGCACAATAGGCGCCTGGCTTTATAGGGCAGAAGTTGCCTTACAGGAGGAAATAACTATTCAGCAGGTCCATGAAGAAACTGCAAACACAATACATCGGAAGCTGGAACAGCATAAGGTAACAAGCCTAGCATAAGAAATCTATAAGCCTAATACTCATAAGGGGCTTCCCCCAAATGTTAGCTACACATTATTTAGCAACATTTGTTATTTTAATTAAAAGCTCTTTCACCTTTTCTCATCCTTTCTAAACATGGCTTTATTATTGGGTATGCTTTTCAGATCAATTGTTTGCATTACCTTTTTCGAAGGATGATTTTGTTTTTATTGTTGTTGGTTGGGACATTTTTCAGTCTTAGAAAATATGTAAGAACTGTGAGACAGATTGAGAAATAGGCCAACTACTGTGGTATATGTATAATTAAGCTAATTAATGTCCTGGATAGACTAATCTGGCACCCCACCAACTGATATATTTTAAATATATTAACCCTTGAGATAAGAAATACAATACGCTATAAATTATGAAGCTAGATTATGGCAGGATCATTGGATTAAAACCACATTCCAGTGAACCATGAGATGTGAGGTCTTAAATCATTTAGTAAAAATGCGAAAAATTCTGAGTCTGGTCAAAAGAAGCACACTTATTACTAACTGGTAGGATAACTTTGGACAATTCACTTCACCTCCCTTAGAAGTTAGCTTCCTTGTCTGTAAAATAAGAAGGGAAGGAATAAATTATCTTTCAAGTGACTTTCAGCTCTTAAATTTTTTGATCTTCCATAGCCTGGCAAGGTGTTACCTTGTTTTGTTTTAATTTGTTTAAAACTAAGAATCAGTCTTCAAATTGCTTTAACATGTCTATCTAGGAGCTGAAAGAAATTGATTTTTCTGTTTATAAACTTAATTGCCTTTTTGATTGCTTTTCATGGGGATAACTTCTAGATAAGTAAGTGAAATATTGTTCTTCATGACCATGAAAGAAAGTCATCCAACCTTCTCATTTTCTCGTCTCTAGACATGGTAAGGAATCTTTTTTGTTGCAAGGAAGTTAGGCTATATTAAATGTGGGAGAGGGCAAGAAGGTTTGGAAGGTGAAAGAATGACTAGCAACATTCCCTATGTTCCCTTTATCTAAAATATCTCATTGTGAACCACCTATAGAACATATTGCTGTCTCTGGTTATCTCCCTACTTCTTTCTGGGCCTGGAATCAAGACCTAGGTGCAAATGTAGCCTTAAATATTTACTGATTATTAGGTATGTGACCTGGGCAAGTCACTTATCCTCTGTTTTCCATAGTTTCCTGGAGTGTAAAATGGGGATGATAATTACACTCCCAACACATCTCCAATGAGATATTTGTAAAGCACTTCACACACTGCCTAGCACATAGTAGGCACATAGTACATGCTTATTCTCTTCCTTATTTCCTTCCCATGACAATGCCTTGCTTTACACCTTCTTAATAATACACTTTGTAATTATCAACCTCTCAGAACTGCTTTCCCCTCTTCTTTATTCAGGGATAGATAAATGCCTAGTTTGATATTATACTGCCTCTAGAATATCAATAATCTATTTAACCATATGTATGTTTCTATCCTGCCACACACGTCTTTTCTTCTCTCCCTTTTGTCCTGGCTTCCTCTTGATTTTATTTTATATTTCCCCCTTTTAAAAATATTCATTTATTTTTAGCATTCTTTTCTTTTTTAAAGTTTGAGTTCCAGATTCTCTCTCTCCTCACTCTTCCCTTATCCACTGAGAAGGCAAGGTGTACAATAAAAATTACACATGTGAAATCATGCAAAACATATTTTCCTATTGTGAAAAAAAGTAAAGTGAAAACACTGTGGTTCAATTTACACTCAGAGTTCAACAGTTCTCTGGAGGTGGATAGCATTTTTCATTATGAGTCCTTTGGAACTGTCTTGGATCACTGTATTGATCAGAGTAGCCAAGTCTCTCACAGTTGATCATTGTTATAACATTGCTATTACTGTGCACAATGATGTCACAGTTCTTCTCACTTAAATTTGCATCAGTTTATATAGGTCTTGCCATGTTTCCTCCTCATCATTTCTTTTGTTTTATTTATTATTTATTTATTTATTTGTTTATTTATTTGGGAGGCAATTGGGGTTAAGTGACTTGCCCAGGGTCACACAGCTAGTAAGTGTTATGTGTCTGAGACCAGATTTAACCTCAGGTCCTCCTGACTTCAGGGCTGGTTCTCTATCTACTGTACCACTTCACTGCCCCCTCATCATTTCTTATAGAATGGTCATATTCCATAACTTATTCAGCTATCCCCCAATTGATGAGCATCTCTTGAGTTTCCAATTCTTTGCCACCACAAAAAGAGCTACTATAAATATTTTTGTACGTATAAGTCCTTTTCCTTTTCTTTGATCTCTTTGGGGTTCCATTTGATTTTATGAGGGATAGTTATAATGATACTATAGCAAAAATCATAGAAATATTAAATTAAGAAATACTTTATCAAAAATCACATTTTACATGAATATTGATTCTCCTGCTCATATTTCTTACAGCCTCTCTAACTTCTGAGTTGACATGTGTCTTTAAAGGATAATGCCATTTTAAATTTTAGTCTGAAGTTCTATTCCTTCTTTGGGGCACAATTCTCATAAGAAATGTATGCTAATGGAGATCAATATTTGTTGGGTTCTATCAAGTGGGAAAAACTTCAAGTCTGGGCATAAGGTTATTATTCTGATTAGCCAAGCCAGTTCAAAGAGGTCATAGCTAGTTGACTAAAGGATGATGAAAAATTTGGCAGTGGAAACTCTTGAAGATATGTAAATATAATTTACCTAGATTACAACCATATGATTTGAGACTGTTTTCTCATGTTAGCATTGTGGAAAAGATGGAGAGATGTTTGTTAGATGATATTGGAGTTAGATGAACAATCAAACCCAAAGAGTAGTTATTCGTGGCTTGAAGATATCTAAAGGAATGCCCCTGGGATGTCCCGACCCTGCAATATTTAATGTTTTTGTTGATGATGTATGAAAAAAATATAGATGACATTCCAAGAAAATTTAAAATGACATAAGACTGAGAGTGATAGCTAATTCATTATGTGTCAGTTTCAGAAACCAGAAAGGTGAGAATATCACACTGAATCTAATGAGATGAAATTTAGTACTCATAAATGTAAATTCTGATACTTGAGTATACTACACAAATTATTCCCAAAAACTAAGAAAGAAAATACTCTCTAAATTCCTTTTATGAGACAAATATCACAATATACTTAAATCAAAAGGATAAAGAAGCAGACCTATAGACTACTATCATTAATCACTACTGATGCAAAATTTTAAATAAAATCATAGCAAAAGGACTAAAATAAAAATATTTGAAACATGATTAAATTATTTGTACCAATCATGTAAGGATGGTTTGATTTTAGGAAAATAATTATTATAATCATATTAAATACAATGCCCCCGACTATGAATATATCAATAGAAAAATTATTTGAGAATTGAGATGACCATCGATTTGGGGAATGGCTAAACAAAATGTGTTATATGACTATAGTGGAATATCATTGTGATAAAGAAATGATTACTATCAGGAAGTATGGGAAGAATTATGTGAATATATGCAAAGTTAATTAAACAGAGGCAGAGAGTTCAAATCCAGCCTCAGACACATAACACTTACTTACTAGCTGTGTGACCCTGGGCGAGTCACTTAACCCCAATTGCCTTACTGAAAAGCAAAAACAAATCAAAAAAAAAAATAAACAGGGTTAGAAGAACATTATATATAATAACTAAAATAGTGTTGATGGAAGAATAAATGAAATTGAATTCTTTTTTTTTGTACTGAAAATTGATTTTTAATGATAAATTACAACTTGGACACAGGGCAGGTAATAGGACAAGAGCTGGATTGTCTGTGGACTTGCATTGTGCTGATGGTCTGCTCAGGGGCTGGGGCTCCAGGTCTTGCCAAGAGGCTTCTCAGCCTTGGAGACTGGCAATCTGGGAAGGCAACAGGGCCTTTTTGTGGCAGGAGAAGCAGTAGGGTGACTCCTTTAAACATAATGTTGCTTTCAAATTATAATTACTAGGGTTGGCCCAAAGAGGATCTGAGAAAATGTCCCTGTCCCTCATCTTTGCTGAGGTAAGACAGCAGGGAGTGGGCAAAAGTTGTGGAACATTGTATATATTCTCAGACCCAGTTCATGTGTTGATTAGTTGTATTGAACTGTTTTCTTTCCTCTTTCTTTTTTTATTCATTGTTACAAGGTACAGAACTCTAGGGAAGTAGAAGGGAGAATATTCACTAGTAAATGAGCATTTTGTAATGAATGTTCTATTAATTTCCTAATGAATGTTTTATAAAAACAAAATAATTGGATGGATATATGTAAGCATGGATACTCCCTCTGCTGTCATGGATAGCAATTCCTTAGTAAATTAATCAGTCATAGAACTATATAATACAGAAAAACAGATGTATACACAGACATAGTATTAAATTCTGGGAACCACATTTTAGGAAGGACTGGCAAGGTGGATATTGCCCAGAAGTGGGTAACCAAGAGGGTGAAGGGCCTTAAAATCATACTAAAAGTGGCTTGGTTAAAAGACCTGATGATGTATAGCCTGGAGAAAATAAGGCTGAGGGAATTATGATAGATATCTTCAAGTCTTTGGGGGACTGTCCTGTGGAAGAGAAATTAGACTTTTTCTGCTTGGCCCTAGACAGCTGAACTAGAAGTGTTGGATAGATGTTATAGAGTGGTGGGGTGTGTGTGTGTGTGTGTGTGTGTGTGTGTGTGTGTGTGTGTGTGTGTATGATGCTATATATAGCATCAGCCTGATGTCATTCATATATCTATTTATAGTATCTATATAATTTATCTAACTTATCTATGAATGGGGCAGTTACATAGTACAGTAGATGGAGTGCTGGGTCTGGAGTCAGGAACACCTGAGTTCAAACCCAGCCCCAGACACTTAGTAACTGTGAGACCCTGGACAAGTCACTTAACCCTGTTTCCTTCAGTTTCCTCATCAGTAAAATGACTTGGAGAAAGAAATGGCAAATACTCTAGTATTTTTTCCA